TGAGCTAGTGATTTCACTATAAAAAATGAAAATTATAATAATTATTTTTGCTATGAGAGATAGAGAGACAAGCTATATATAAATTTTCTCATCAGCTAAAAATGTTATCTTGAATAATAATAAATATTTTTTAAAATATTAAACAGAGATATGATAGATTTACACTAATATAATATATAAAAATAATCATAAAGGATTATAAAGTCGAGTCATAATCTCAACACCCTAAAAACAATGACAATCCTACTGTATAGGTAGATAAGTATTCCTTGAGTCTGGAAACCTGGGAAGAACTAGTGCACCTCAACCATCCTGACCACGCTCTCACGGGACATTTTTTCTGGCTGGGCAATGCTATGATATTGAAGAACCAAATGTTTGGGATGGCCCTTGAAGTTTATTTTCTAGGTTCTGCTTTCACAGCTTGTTTTGATACAAAAACTAGGGTTCTTAGGCAAATGAGTATACCCTATTGTGATAATTTCATTGCCCTTTTAAAGAATTTGATAGAATATCAGGGAAGTCTAGGTTTACTGATAGGCACAGATGCTAACCTAGAGTTGTGGCTTCTCCGAGAGGATGACATGTGGAATAAGACAAGAACCATCCCAGTCAAATTCAAATATTAAATGTCTTGTGGATATATGGAAAGAAGAGGTTCTTGTTGCATCTAGTGAGGTAATTCATGGTGAGACGAGTGGACAGATAGCGTCTTCCTTCAGTCCCAGTTTTAGAAAAATTCTTCTATCTTGGGTACAAGCATGTGGAGACTTTGGTAGCTGTTGGAAGCAACGAAGTGTTGTAATTGCCAGCTGAGCGTGTCAAAAGATAAGTCCCCACCTCTCACATAAAAGGAGAGGTCTCAGCACTTTTTTGTGAAAATATTTTTGATGAAATTCAAAAATATTTATTTAAAAAGAGCTTTTTCAGAAAAGCCTTTATTTACCTTAGTTTAAATTTAAATTCAAATAAGAAATCTATTTCCCTTAATTTCCCTGACAGAAAACGTTACTCCCTCTTTAACTTCTAACTATCACATTTTAATATGTTAATTAACTCATTCGCAATGTCCACACTTAATGTTTTATTATTATATTCAAACGGTGGCATTATCACTTATTTACCACATATTATTGATTTTAATGATTTAATAGATATGCTTGTGTTGAGTTTCAAAAAATCAAACGGTGGCTTTATCTATACACATTATTTCTTTTGACGGTTATAAATGGATTTACTCCAACATCTAGAAACGTGCTTCATAAATTATATATATATATATTATTATATTGAAATGGTAGAATGATATATTAAAATGGTGGAGTGATGGTGATTTATTTACTTAGTAATGATGCTTCCAACAGCATTATCAAGTTCAAGCCTACAAATATCAGAGCGTGCACATTAGACACAAGAGTCAAGCTTTGTGAGTTTTTGAGCAACACTCTTCCTCCCTTGTGTTTTGCTTCTTGAGTTCAATTTTCCTTCTAAATTATTAATTTTACTGTTTTGTCATCTTGTTCATTTTTACAAGAGGGTTCCGTTTAATCTTAAGGAGTTCCAACAACTATGTCAAAATTGCTCTTAAGGATAGTGTCTATGAGTATAATTTAGAACAAATTTTACACGGCGACTGCCAACATGAAGAAGATGAAGATGAAGATCAAGTAGGAAATGGAGAAAACCAAGTTGCTGAAGAAGAATTGGCTGAATACAAATTTAACAATGTATAGCAAACTTGGTTGATTAAGGACGACCTTCTTGCTCTTGTTTGTATTGTTTGTCCTGTTGTGTCTTTTTTTAGGGATGGAATGCATCAGTTTGCATTTAAAAATGCAGGGTGCACTCGAACATTGTTTGATAAAAATGATTATGTTTTAAATTTTTTTTGGAAATTGATTTTAATAAAATTAAAGATGTTTGGATGATTTAATTCAAAATCAATTTTAAATATGCAAAATACTATAGAAGATCTGAGTTTTATACATAGTACACAAATTGCATATAATTTTTTTAATTTATTTAACAAATAATATATATAGTATTTAATATTTACATAATAATTATACATATACATGCAGATTAACAACAAATTTAAATTATATTATAATTTAATATATGTGAAAAATAAATGAACATATCTAAGTTTAAATAAATTTAATAAAAGAAAAGAAATCACGACTCCTAGATAAATGAAAAATAATGAGGCGAAGTTGAGCAGAGGACTGGTAATGAGTTTTGTGATGTATGCAAGGGGACGAAGGAGAAGGTTTGGGATGCTTGTCCTTGGTGCGTCTTCGTTCTCAAGCAGCCTCATTCTTATTGGTCTCTTCACTGGATGGGATCATCATAAGTAAGGTCCGTGCTGGAGGTCTGGCGTGGTATTTTAAAAACCGGACCAAACAATAAATTAAAAATATGACTAGGTCATAGGTTTTATAGTTGAACCAGTTAACCAGTGATTTTACTGATAACATAATAATTAAATAAAAAATAATATATATATTATATATATATATATATATATATATTAAAAATCAGGTCAAAGCTATTCAACCATCTTGGGGTTTTGTTCCAAATCAAAGTGGATCAACCTAAGTTAATTGCCAAAATGAGTCAAATAATTGAACCAAATCATTTTCTTCTTAGAATGACAATTCAACTGATTTGACCGCCCGGTCTAAAAAGAGTATTTGAAATCATCATGACAATCATTGGCCTCTTTGGCTATTAAGTCATCGCACAAATATTGGCGTCTCGAGACACATGAAGAAGACTATATTCAGTATGAGCACAAAGGAGGTCGTGCATTTCAGCTATGATCTCAAAGTAAGGATGCTCTGTATTTTCACCTCTATAAATGATGTTTGTAGCGTCTAAAGAGTCCGTGTAATTCTTTCTATGTTAAAATTTTCCTTACTTATTTCTATATTTGTAACTTCATTCTTGATAAACATATATCCTTTCTAAATAAAACTTAATCCAAATATATCCTTTCTAATACCGAGTTATTGTCTCCATAATTTACCTCCTATATATAATTTTTTTAATTTAATAATTGCATCAATCTTATGATAAACATTTGGGAGAATGACAGATAAGTCCCACATAATCAAATTAATTCAAGATAAGTACCAAGAAATTTTTAATTATCAATAAAGTCCCATGGGTCCTTGAATGATTATATGTTAATACAGTAATAACTTAAATAACCTTGCATGAAACATTTAGCTAAGTCGAAATTTTGTGCTCAACATTTAGTTTGGGCTCTCTTGCTGACCTTTTACTAATGTAGGTCCAAATTTGGGGGGCCTTTTGGTAAGTTCATGATGTAATAATTATGCTTATAGTATACACTACACATCTCTTATTTTCAAGATCGCATTCGCTAAATTTAACATTTTTTTAAGAAAATATTCTTCCTTAACATGCACATTTATTTCGTAATACCTTCAACACTTAATTTTTTTTTTAAAAAAAACTTTTCAACTTCAATTTGACATATTCTATTTCTTTTTATAAAAATGGAAGCATAAAATTACACAAGTAAGGGAGTTAAACTCTGGATCCTGTGCCAATAATTCCCTTAACTTTTTAAAATTTAATATTAAGCTTTCTTGAGCTTTCCTAAATTGGGGCTTAAATTTTATTTTTTTTATATGCATAAAACTTGTACAGAAAATCTTTCTAAATTTTAAACTGTGTGCGGATAATTAGTGAATCAAACTAATCGTAAGGGAGTTATCTACATAAATGTTAGAGTTAGAGTTTATAATAAAGTTTCAAAAGTTAGAAGAGTTACCTAACCCTTTTGAACTCACGAAGAAGAGGACATAATTCTTCTAGACATTCGTTAAATGCTTATCTATTTCAACTCGGTTTTGGGGGGAAAATGCAGTCAACTTTGGAATCCTCATTTTACTTTTTTCTATACTTTACCATTGTTGACCTAGAAGCTGCATTTTTTTTTAATGTTTTTCACCTTATGTTTGACTTTTTATTTTAAAAAAAGAATTGTACCTAAGAGCCCAAAATGGGAAACATTGCACTTAAGTCCAATATATTTTGAATTATTTCTGTAAGTCCAAATGCTCCAAATACAAATATATTTTTTCATAAAAAAAAACACATTTGCCTCAATTGTGTAAGTTTTTTAGGTATGTGTATGACACAAGTTTTCCATGCATATGTATAATACAATATTCATAAAGAACATGACAAGGTTTATATATAAATAATACAATGTCAATTTATTGTATATAATTTGTGTGATTAAGTTGAATAATAATTTGCAAGTTTTCCAAATGTTTGTAGAACACAATATTTATAAAGAACATGATAGCAAGGATGGATCTTGGGGGGCAAGCAGGCCACATTATAAAATTTTTGATTAATTTTCTTTATTTTTATATGGAAAAAGTGAACAAAAATTAATTTTGGCCCCCTTCTTCCATGAATTTTTCATGTTAATCCTATGAATTATGTTCTAGATCCATCCTTGCATGACAAGGTTTACATGTGAACAACATAATGTTTACTTATCATACATAATCTGTGTAATTAAGGACAAAGACATCTTTTCACCAAAAAAAACATAATTGCATTTAAGTCATTTAGGCTTGTAAAAATAATCCAGAATATAGCAAATCTTCAGCGCGATTTTTTCACTATGGGGGCTTTAGGTGTAACTCCCTGTAAAAAATAGGTTTATATGTATAATTTAACCTAAACTGAATTATTTAAAATTGTTAAAACTAGAGGGAGATTTGGGGGAAGCGTCATACCAAGTGAAAAGCTCTCGTAAGGTAAGATTCATTCACTGTGATTCCCAAGGCTGCGCTGTTTTTTTAGAAATGGCCTCCTCGGTTATCCCCAGAAATCCGTCCATTCAAATTTCAACTTCTTTCTCTCTGTCACACACACACACGCACATATCAACATCGAAACCTCTTCTTTCTGGTATAACTCAATGGTCTTTCAACTTTCAAGGCAAATTGATGATGAACGGAAGCATCACTATGCCCTCCCCTCAACCTCTAGCCTCTATCAATGAAACAATCAGAGGCCTCTTCATCAGGCTTCCTGTGAAGTCCTTAATCCTTCTCAGATCCGGGTGTAAGCCATGGTCCAATCTTTTGAGAAGTTCAAGTTTCGTGTTAAATCACCTCCATTACCATTCAGAGAAGAACCCTCTTCTCATTATTCAACGCTTTCACTGGAACCAAAAAAGCAGTGGCCTGGAATTGTTTCTGTTTGATATTCAAAGTAAAAAGATACGAGAATTTCATGTCCCTAGAGTTACAGATTCTGATATGGGTTTCAAGATAGTGGGCTCTTGCAATGGTCTGATGTGTGTTTGTCATTATTCACATGATCCATCTTCTTGCCTTTTTCTTTGGAATCCAGCAACGAGGCAAATCAGGCGAATTCCTGAATATTCCAATGCTCTGCTACCTCATAAGGCCTCACCATATTGCCTCCTGGGTTTTGGTTATAATACTTGCGATGAGGACTATGAGGTTATAAGAGTTTACTCTTGTGTGGGAACTCATGCCATAAGAATTGAAAGATACTCACTGAATTCTGGGTTTTGGGAGGAAGTTGAGTATTCCAATCATCATGGTGCTACCGTGAATGGACATTTTCTGTGGATTGAGAATTCAGTGACAGTGAAAAGAAAAATGTTTTGGGTGGCCATGACAGCATACCAAAGATTCAGGAATGAATTCATTGTTTCTTATGATGCAGAAAACAAAGTGCTCAGAAAGATGAGCGTGCCAGATTCTGATAACCTTGAAGTTTCCAAGAAGCTCACAGAATATAAAGAATCTCTTGGCGTGCTAGTTTTCTCAGAATCCGCAACTATGGATCGTTGTTTAGATTTCTGGGTTTATGATGACAAAAACAATGATTTTGACTTGTGGATTAAAGTAAAAACTGTTAGACTGTCTTCAACCATGGATCGTCCCATGGGTGTGTGGAAAGATGAGATTTTTATTGCATCTGGTAATGTGATTCATGCGGTAAGAAGTGGCTTGGGAGCTCTTCTTCCTTCAGCTCAAGTTGCTGATGATTATTGCTATGTTTTATTAAATTATGCAGAGAGCTTGGTTTCTGTTAATAATGGAGGAAATAGGAATGGGATTGATCTGGAAGATGAATAAAGTAACAGCAAGGAAGGGTCATCATCATTTGTCAGGGTTTTCAAGAAGTTGATTATTGATTGGCTTCTGAACAAGTTGAATACACAGAGATTGAAGAGGTCTGTTTTGAAATATCAAAGGGGCTGCTTGGGGACTCTGTATTACGCTACATGTTTTGTTCTAATTCTCTCCATTTTTGTGTTCTTTTGTTTTCTTCGAATGCTTCTGAGTTATGGTTTGATAAGTTTGGAGAATGTAATGGATGGTTGATTGATTGCTCTCTTATTTCCAGATGATTAAGATTTTTTTTTCCTTTTTACTTGCCAAATTATTTTGTTCTCTTAACCATTTTTTTCCTAATTTTTATTGAAGTCATGCTTTTATTTTGAAAATATATGCGAATTTTCATTACAGATTATGTATATATAAATGTATATGTATATGTCTTCTAAGAGTTATTAAAATACATAATATTCTTTCTGTTATGTACAATTTCTCTTTAAAGCAGTTCTTGGCCAAAAAAGTAAAAGTAGAGAAAACATTTGTGTAATTTTAACTCAAAAAAAGAAATTCTTGTAGTTTATTATTTTGGAAAAATATCAATTAAAGAGTACTAGAGAAAATTTATATCAGTCAAGGATCACTTGATAATTCATTAGTCTTTTATCAACAAATATCTATTCCAATTTTAACAACATTTTATTCTAAATTAATAATAATTCATTCGATCTCTTTTACATTTAGATTTTGATAACAATTAATCTTTAAGTAATATAAATTTCCTTTAATGATCCTTCATTGCTATTTTCTCCATTACTTTTGTGAGATAGATAGATATATCATTAAGATTTTTAATTTAAAATATTTCAACGACCTTTTGTTTAGTCTTAGTTAAGGTTGTGTAAAAGTCTGATTGTCTTGTCCAATTCAGTCTAATCCAAACAAGTTTGGTCTTGTCCGGTCTAATAAAAAATTAGTCCAAGAGACTAAAGAGACCAAAAGGATAACACTAACTTCTCGGGTTGGACCGAACTAGAGACCAAGCTCTTAGACATCCGATCCTATGAAATTATTTTAGTAAAATTTTAATTATTTTTAATATATTTGAATAGTTTGAAGTTTGAATGTAGCATTTTCTTCATTCATATTTCACCCTTCTATTTAATATAATTTTGATTTAGTTTACTACTAAATTATTGTTATAATATATATTAGACATGTTGCTGAAATTTGTTAAATATTATTGTTGCTATTGTTAAAATTATGAACTTGAATCATGTGGATTGTAACTAAAATATTTTTTGTTGTTTTTGTTAAAGATTGTTATGAATTTTTTTATGATTATAAGTATTTTTATTATCTTAATTGATTTTATTAGGATGAAATAAATTGTTATCTCTCATAAAAGAAAAAAGAAAAAAGTTAAGTGAGTATTGGATATTAGGACCAATCTCCTAATCTTATGGATCAACTCCAGTCTTATTAATCTTTGAGTTACAATTGAATCAAACTGAATTACGGGTTATCTAACCCAATTCTTTTTATGAAAGAAATCAGACTTTAAATTAGGCCAAAGTGTGCAGCAGTAATCTTAATAACATCTCCTTTCTATTTTAAAATCTTATGTTTTAATTCAATCTCTTGTAATCTCATAAAATATTTTTAATATAATCTTAGTAAACTAAAAATTATATTTACATAAATTATGTTAACTAATTTATCGGAAATTTTGTTGTGTGATATGCATCTATATATATGTATGTATATGTATGTGTGTAGGTATGTATCTATATGTCTACTACCTAAAGTATTTTAGGTGTATATTATGCTTTGTCTTTTTTCGATCAAATGTATATTATGCTTTGTCAAAGAATTGAAGGTTATACCAATATATATAGGTTCTACAAAAAGCGATTATGATTAAAAAACGTAAAAATGATTATGGCTTGTTTGTTTCAATTTATTTTATGAAAAAAGGTAAATGCAAGAATACTTTTGGAAAGCAGCTATTACCAATTGAACTTGATAATATTTGTTGAAAGCAAAAACTGTTGTATTCTTAATATTTCATTGAACTTGTATTGCATTTTTGAATATTTGTTATTTTTTGTCAAAAGCAACTTGGAAGCTGGAGTCCTTGAAGCAGCGCAATGAGCAAAGTCAGAATGAAGAGTAATTGTGCGCCAAGCTCAGGATCTCAAATTTTTATTATTAAATAAATAAATATTATTTAAGATATGACTAAATCAAAGTTATGAAGTATATGAAAAATATAAGATACCAATCATTTGAAAAATATTACAAAAAAAAACTGTCATTTCACAAAATTATGGGTCGTACGTCATGACCAACAATACATTCATCGAAGTGGATTACATTAAGGCTAATTTGGCCTACCTAATAGTCAGAGTTCTAGACATAAAATGTGAATGTAATTTGCTTTGAATTTCAAATTTTAGGATTCAGAATGCTACAAGCGCAACAATTTAGGGTCTATGATGCTTATTAAAAATAACATATTAATAAGGGATTGCTACATCAGAATTTTGACTAGTTCCACTGAGTGAATAGTAATGATGTTAATGGTGAGATTTAATTTGCTATAAATTTAAAAGTTTAAGTTTCATTTTGCACATTTTAAGAATTCAGAGTTTAAGGCTCTTTTCATGCAATACTTCAAAATTCAAAATGCTTATTAACCCTATATGGTATTACCTTCATTTTAAATTATAAGATATTTTTTAATAAAATTACACACATTAATAAAGTTTATTAAATATACTTTATAACCTCACTTTTTTAAAATAAAAATACAAACTTTAAAAAATACAATTCATTTTAATATTTCATTTATTAAAAAATATCAAAGAGAGGGAATGTATGAGAAAGATAATATTAAAAAATATCATTAATAAAATTTTATTTTTATCAAAATATCTTATAATTATGAACGTCTAATTTTTTTAAAAAATATTTTATAATTTAAAATAAAGAAAGTAATATATATGACAGTGCTATAAAAGGGTTCATATATTACAGATTGATTATTTGATTTATATGGGCAAAAGTAGTTGTCATTTTTGTCTTTCTTGTGTTGTGGTGTTGGCTCAACTGGTAGCTTTCTCAAATTAATTGGACTTCATTCCGCAATCCTGACCATAATGAATACACACTCTATTCTCTCCATCAGCGTAAACTAACTTCTCACTATCTTGTAATCATCAATTTATTTATTAATAAACTTCTCATATCCTCAATATCAATATCAATCAATCATCATCATCAATCAATATATATACAAATCTTGTAGTTTTAATCTAACTAATAAAAAAAATTGACTCTCATTGATTAATAAATTTTAGGCTAATGTTAATATAAAAATTTCTATTAATTCATTAATGAGATTTAATTTATTATTTTTTATTTTTTTATATTTTTAGTCTACTTTTATAAGAATATTGATTCAAGAGTAATTTTAATTTTAAATTTCCTTGATTACTAATATTAACTCCTTCTGGCTATTCATCTTCATTCGTTATACTTTTACAAGCCTTTCATTTTTCTTGATTAATGAGATTTAGTTTATTTATTTTTATTTTTCATGTATTTTCAATATACTTTTATGAAAGCATTAATTCAAGAGCAGTTTCATTTTTAAATTTCCCTCATCATTAGCATTAACTCCATCCAACTATCATTCTACATTTGCTGTACTTTTCCATGTCTTTTTAATTTTCTTTATCAATGAGATTTAATTTATTTTTTATTTTTTACATATTTTATTGATTCACAGTACTCAATATCAATTAACTTTCATCCATAAACGTTGTTTGTGAAAAAAAATAAAAAAAAGAAGTTTAAGTTTCATTTAAATTTTTAATCCTTATCTCATGATCTTGGCTCTTCAAATTGTACATGTTTCACCATACATTCTGTGCTGATAAAATAATGCAACAACTATTTAAATACTATAAACAGGTAAAACTTGAGTGGTAGAGATATCTTTTTAGTAGTCCTTTTGTTTGGCATATAAAAAAAAAGAAGAATATTAATAAAAAATATCAAAGAATAGAATACAATTAACAAAAAGAGGGATCCCTTTGATTTTTTATATCCATATTTATAGAAATATAATTTATATCATAATTCATAAAATAATGTTTAATTTTTTTACGTAATAAAAAATGAGAGGTTATTGAGCATTCTAAAGATTTTTTTTTTGTCAATATTCTCGAACACCTAAAAACAAGTATTTTTTAGATAGGTTTTTCACTGTAAGCTCAAAAAATAAAAACAAGGTATGTGCAAATGAAATATCTAAGAGAAAAATGATTGAATAGAGTAACTCTTGAAAATTTAACCATTTTAAATGTGCCGATATTAATTATATTAATAATATTTATTTTAAATTCCTTAATTACAATCCGTACAATGCGCTGAAAATTGTCCAGTTTATCTCCAAAAAGAAACTCTCATAAATGGGATATATGTTAAAAGGATCCAGAGGCTTCCACTACATATATACCAGAATTCGCCCAAAGTGATATTTAGTTTTTATTAATGTGAATGTTTTCAAATATATTTACGATATTACATTGCATGTAATATTGCAAGAAAGACGGCAGCCTACATGTTAGTCAAATAGAACAATAATTATTGTCATTATCAGCATTAATTAGAAAAGATACTATAATGGGTTTGACTTATCAATGATGTATCAGACTTTTTTTTTTTTCACCAAAACAAAATCTTATCACGCCAAAACATCAAAAACCGAAAGTAGTATTGGCAAAATCTCTTCCAACTAATGGCACCTATATACTAATAGGTAAGATGTGTTCGATGTTATATTATGTTTTTTTGAACTCGATGTTGATTATATTAGTGACACTGCCATTACTGTGTTATGCAAACAGATATATTATTGATTTCCCCAACAGTAGACTGAGGCTCGTCGTTAGAAGATAATTTTGTAAAATTTTACCTCATATATACTTTATTTCTAAATGTATTTGTAACTTCATTCTTCATATTGCAATGCAAATTACTGAACTTATGAATGAATAAATGTAAAATAAACAAAAAAAGTGGAGTCTTCAAAAGACTTTCTAAATAAAACTTAATCCACATCCTTTCCAACGAGTTATTATCTCCATGATTTACTCCTATATATATGATTTTTTTTTTAAATAATTGGATCAATCTAATGATAAACATTCCACCGACCAAACAAACAAAAATATCATTAAAATAAACTCAATAGACAATAAAAATTTAGTCCCTTGAACATTCTATTCAAATCCATGAGTAAATTAACTACTGTAAAATCCTCAAATTTACTGTGAGCTAAATAATCAGTTCTCTAGCCAGCAACATAATGGAAAGTTATAAACAAGTGCTTCAACGTAACGTTGCTGCTGCATTAAACTCTCTTACTTCTTTTGGCCCATACAGTTGAACATCTCATGAGCTTGAAGCAGATCATGATGGTATCCGTACTTGGTCTGAAATTCTTGCATCATCAAAGGAGCTTGAAGGACCTGCAAATTTGCTTCATGATGATGCTGCATAACATTATTATTCTGATGCAGATAAGGATAGTAACCATTAATATTGTAAAAGCATGATGAAGGACAAGAATCTCTGGGATCATAAGGACCAAAGGCTTCATTCTGTGTTCCAGAATCATTCAGATGCATCAGATTCGGATGAAAAGGCATCATCACACAATGATGATGATCATCATCATCAGATTTGGGAGGGAAATCTAGAGTTTGATGAAACGACGTAGTGTTATTGTGCATGAAACTGAGATGGCTTCGGTTATTTGAAGTTGATTTGAGTTGTGAGGATTCTGCTCCTTGTTTTTCCTCTATGTAACGCTTCTTCTTCAACATGTTGATCCTCCCCTTGCAATCTTCGATCTTGGAATCCAACAAAGCGACGAACATCCTCAGGTGTTCTTCGTCAAGTCTGTCGAAAGAGGAATCCCACGTCGGATAAAGTTTTCGGAGCCTCTCCTTTTGAAGCTTGCTCGCTTCGGCTTCAACTTTGTTCTTCCTGTCCTTGAAGAACTCCATGACGTTGTACTTCTTGGGACTTTTCTCAGCGATCTTGACCTCATACTTCTTAATGATTCTATGCACCTTCTCAAAAAAAAAAAAAAATAATAATAATAATAATAATTTCCAGATTCATCTATACAACTTAATTTCACCTTGAAATTAGATGAATATTCCGCCTATTTTCTAACTTCAAAAACATAAATTTAAAAAAATTCTTTTATTTTTAAACTTATACATAGCAATCTCTAACGATAGAAACAAGAGATTACTTAACCTTATTTGAATTTTGTTAAAACTATCGCCTTTCCCATTTTTAGATTCTACATGGACAACTTGATTTGTAAAATACAAACAAAATTTGTTTCCAAAGCACGGATTAATTTAGATATATCATTTTTTTTTAATTTTGTTGAAATTGTCAACACCGACATCGTTTATTGGTTTTATCAACAAATAAAAAATTAAACACAAGAGATCAAAATATAATTTAAAAAAGAAACAAAGAGTTGTTTATCCCAACAACACAGTAATATTACCTCTCTGGGATCTCGAGGCCAAATTTCAGGAAGGTTGTCGACGGAGTTAGGACCATAGACGACCAAGCAACAGTCAACACCACATAGTGTAGAGAGCTCGTGAGCTTTTTTCATGATTCCATTCTTCCTCTTTTGAAACGTCGCTTTTCTGGATTTCTCTTTTTCTATCAGTTTCATCGCTAATCTTCCTCGCCCCATCTTTCTTTCTCGACTTTTTCTCAGCAAGCATGAATCTAGTTATGGGCACTGTTAGTCGAATTTAATAATAATTATCATAATTATCATTAATTAGAAAAGATACCAATTTTGAAAAAGATACCATATTTAAATTAATGTTATTGATGAGTTTGACCTGCGAACAATAATAATGGCGTTTATATAATAGGTAAAATAACTTGATTAATTTATTTTTTTTTATCTCAACGTCGATTATATTATTGGCACACTGCGATTATTTTTTATCCAACACACGATGCAATTATTTTAAGATGTTGGAAACATTTTAATTATAATAAAATTTCAATGTTTAGTTTTTAAGCTTTGTGATTATTGCAGGTTGATCTTTTCAATATTACTTAGATGAATAAAAAAAATTACCTATTTCAAAGTTGTAATTCTACACATTTTAATTTATTGAAATATTTTCAACGTGAATTGTATTTATGCTCGATTGGATTTGCCAGTTAATGTTAAAATATATTGTCATTGATTTATTTCTCTCCTTTTAGACCTGTCTTGCTGATTTATTTCCAACAAATGGGCATCAAATAATCATTTTATTTGTCTTATATTTGACTAGAGTTACTCTACCGTGCGTTAGCTGACAAAGATCAAATTATTATTATTTTTTCTTTATTTTCTAAGATAATTTCTCCAATCAATATAATAATAAGCTTTAGATCATCTCTTTTATAGTTTGGTATTATGTTGAAGTTCTAAATCTATAGATGTGAACTATTTTTTTTTAATATTTATAAAAACAATAACATTGTTAACGTTTTGCAAGTGAAATTCTAAATTCATAATAAATGATGCATCTAAATTAGTAGCAATTGGTTTTATCGTTTATTTATTTATTCATTTTTAACTTTAAATGTCAATTTTATTTGATTTTATTCAATTCAATAGATAATTGAATTTGGAATTATTTAATTTAATAGAATTTATTTATTCTTACACAAAATTCATCTTTAACAAGAAATCAAGTGGATAAGAACCATGCAAAAGACTAATTATAAAATCATAAATCATTAGATTTATCACATTGACTTCCTTGAGAGAACAAAGCTCCGGTATTAATCAACCTTTCAAGATGAGTGCCTGCCTACCCAGTCATTAGATGTTGAAGGAGAGGACAGTTGGCATCTTTTATGTTAACATTCATAAGCATAGTTCTTGCACTGCATAGCAAAATATCCAAAAGTTTGCTATTAGATTATCTGCAAGTTCAACAAATATGGCTTGTTTGTGAATCTTAAAAGCAGAAAAGCATATTTTTTTCCTTTAAAAAAAAAACTTCTTAATGCAAAAATGTTACTTCCATTAAATAATTACATATAGCAAGGGGTTACCTCTCCAATCATATCAATCTCCAAGAAACATGCCTCTTCTATAACTGACCAATTGATGCATGTTCAAGAGCCTCTTTAGACCTGAGAGAAACAAACCTGTTCTCATCGAAAGACGATAAATGTCTTAGATATAAGCCACCAAAAAAATCATCAATGATACCTCAAATTCAAAGGTAATTATTATACGTAATGCTATCCTAATGATTAGATATTATTTTTGAATCCTATATGATTGCTTCCACAAAATACTGAAATTGCAACGGAGCAGGAGCGAATTCTAGTACCAATGAAGGGAGAAAACTGACAACTCTCTGCATGTTAAAGCAGAGTATCAACACAATGGATCACCAAAATGGCCAGACAATTTCAACCATTACAATTAACATATGTAATGGCAACAGTTAGACAGTGCTTCCCAATCTTTAAAGGAATACCTGTTATATATTTGATGGGGCCTTCTAAAGCTATTCAGCATTGGACAGAACTCTGTAGATTTCCGCGAAGCCGAGAATGCAGCAGACTGATAGGGTAATCTACCAAAAGCATGCCCAGTTTACATGTTTCTGACCTCAATCAAACTATGAGCAGGTGCTTTTCTTAACCCTTCCTCATTTACCATATGTCTAACCTTCTCTGCGTCACTCCATCTTCCTACAGCAGCATAAAGTTTTGCCAACAAGACATAATTTCCTGTATTTTCAGGCTCAAGCTCAAAAAGGCACCTTGCAGCCATTTCTCCCAGTTCAACATTCTCATGGATCACACAAGCACCAAGAAGTGAACCCCATACAGAATGGTTAGGTGTTTCAGGCATTGTTTCAACAAGATCATAAGCATCATTGAGTCGACCTGCACGACCAAGAAGATCAATGATGCAAGTATAATGATCAGTACAAGGGATAATCCGGTGTTGATCCAGCATCAACTTGAAAATGCTCAAACCCTCATCAACCATCCCTGCATGGCTGCAAGCATGCAGAACAGAGGTGAATGTAATTTTATTTGGTTTTACTCCAGATTGCAACATCTGATTGAATAGTGATACGGCCATATCTCCATGTCCATGCTTTCCATAAGCAGCAATTATCGTACTCCAAATAACAATATCCTTATACTTTAGAGGGATTATATCAAAAATCTTGTGCGCATACTCCAAATATCCACACTTTGAGTATATATCAACTAGAATACTTGATACTTCAAGCAAGTAAACAAATCCAGATCTTATAAGGTAACAATGTATGTTCATTGCCTGATGGAGGTCAGCAAGAATAGCATATGCTGGAAGAAGACTGTTGAAGGTTGCATCATTAGGTGGTATTTCTTCCAGTAACATCTGCTTGAAGAGTTCTACTGCTTCTCTTGCAAGCCCATTATGTATGAACCCAGATAGAAGTGCATTACATGGGACAGTTCTCTTTTTTGAGGTTTTCATTAGCACTTTATAACTGCGGTCAACATGACAGCATTTTGCATACATATCAATTAAGGCAGTTTCCACCATAACCTCAGTCTCAAGTTTATGCCTTATTGCCCATGCATGCAAGCACTTGCCAGGGTTCCAGAAAACTAAACTGGCACAAGCTGATAGAAGAGAAGCTATACTCACAAAATTGGGTTTCACTCCTTCACATTGCATCATGTGACAAAGCATCAGAGCACGTCTCGGATCACCATTCAGAACATAACCATTGATCAAGGTTGTCCAAGTCACCACATCCTTCTCTTTGATCCTATTCGCTAATGACCATGCTTCTTCCATTTGGCCACACTTAACATACATGTCCAACATAGCATTCCTCACAGCTATATTCCCCCAAAACCCCTTCTCCTGCACAAATGCATGAATCTCTCTTCCTAGCTCCACATTCTTCAAATAACCACAAACAGGTAATATAGAAACTACTGTTGCACAATCAGGCTCTACGTCTCCATCCTTCATCCTTTTATAAACCATCAAAGCCTCACCTACACAGGAGTTTCGGAAATACCCATTAATCATGGTATTCCAAGACACCACAGTTCGTTCCTGCATTGAGTCAAAAACCAGCTGTGCCGCTTCTTTCTCCCCACAATTCATATACATTGCCATCAGATTGTTCTGGACAAACTGGTCCAAACCAAAGCCAGTTTTCAAAGTCTGCCCATGAACTCCGACACCCATGCGAATCAATGACAAGTCCCCACAAGCCTTGATGGCAAATGGATACGTAAAGTTGTCAGGTTGACTCTGACCTGAAGCAAGCATATCAACAAACAGTTTCAGTGCATCACAGGGGCGACCATTTTGGCAATACATCTTGATCATCATATTCCATGAGAACAAGTTTCGATGAGGCAATTTGGCAAACAGCTCATGCGCATATGAGGTGTGATTGCACTGCGCATAGGTTGTGGCAAGAATTGGGCAAAGCTTAGAGGAAGAATAGGAGAGAAGACCAAAGGTGATGATGATGCAGGCATGTAGTTCTTTAGTTTTAGAAAGCAACTGAGCTGCGGCATACTTCCTTAAGGATCTGGTAAAAATCTCAAACTGATTTCTCCTACAACGTAATTTTCATCACCATAAGGATTCAGATGAAAACCATTAATCCAAAAATTTTGTTTGAAATCTATTTGAAGCTAATAGGAAAAAAATAAAGCAAAATTTACCCCTGATTCATCAACCCTACTAAGAAGCCTTGGTCCCAACTGCCTGCCTAAACAACCTGGAGCACAAGAAAATGGATGCAATCGAGGACCTAAAAAGACTCAAGACATGAGAGAAACAATGATGTTTCAGGATCTAAGTTATAACCTTAACTAACATACAGAAAGCAAGCAACTAAATTAATCTCAAACCGCTAAAATCAGATAGAGCAAAAATTTTATTAACCGACTCACAGCAGTAGAAGCCATCTGTTTGAACAGAGACATTAAAACACAACATTTACTGCCTCAAGAATTTATTAACGAATGACAACTGAAGATAGTTTTAAAGCAAAAGCACACTTTTTGTCCTCTAACTTTATATGATGTTTCAATACCATCCCTTAATTTCATTAAGTGTCTTTCTAGTTCTTCAATCATAACACCATTAATCTAATTAATAGAAAATACTAGTAAAGCAAATTTAAATGTTGACAAAGTATGCTATAACCAACTCATTATCAGCCTCCAATCTGTTAATATTAAATTTAAATTTTAAATTAAAATAATTCTACTTCCCAAATAAAACCTAAGAGAAACTATGCTATTAATTCAAAAGCAACATTTCGGTGGTGAACAATTGCACGTTTGGCATCAAGAACCTAGTATTTGATCTGTGCAAAAATCTGCCTGCAACTTATTTGATTTGTGTGAACGTCAGTCTGCAACAACATGTATTTTTTTTTCCCCCTTCTTTCCTTGCAAATTTTAGTACAAGCGAGGAGGGGATTGGCATTAACTTCCTGGACTTGTCTTCTGATCACGCATGCTTTTCACTGTTTTGTTTGCTTCTTGGATTTGTTTCTCATGCTATTTCTTTTTCTTGGTTTGTCTCATTTTATTTGGTTATTCCTATGTACTGCCCAAAAAAGTATTAGTGAGGAGATGAATACCCACAAAATCACAATATAAATCTAGGGCTAAATACAAGTAAGAAACTCTTCTGTTTTAAAGGAAAATCTCATTTAAAAATTAAACTCCTAATTAAAAACATAAACTAATAAGCTTTTAATAATCTCTAGATCAGTATACTTTTTAATCAAGAATATTATAATTCAAAACAATCTAGTATAACATCTGTGAAGCCTTCATCTTCCTTACGTGAAAAGGCTCATATATGTTATACACAATTACATGTAATCTAGTATCTTTTGAACCAAATGTCTCTTGTGTGTCACAATTAGAAACCATACCATACTATACGATTGTCCATTTGTCACACTGTGCATTAATAGATAATTACCAGTTAAGCTGACTTAGACAGCTAGAGTAAATTATAGTAGAATATAACAGGGGATTCTAAGCACTCGCAACAGAATATCAATATCTTGACATACTCTCACCTCCATATAAAAAGCCTACTGGCAGACCACAAAAAACCAAGAAGAAAGTATCCGAAAAAAGAAAAGAAAGGAAAAATTAAGATGAGAAGAACTGGCTTTGCAACAAAATGTTCAGATTGTGGCACTATCAGCCACAAGAAAAGAGGTTGCAAGGATTCAAGCCCCATTGAAAGTCATGACATTGAAACGAAAGCAAGCATCACACATTCTAGTGGACATAGCATTTCAGTCAACACGTGACACAAACAAGTGTGCAGCCATGCAAGGTAAAATCTATTAGTTCAATTTATAAAATTTAATGAATTATAAAACTGCACCAAAAGAAACATAAATTTTGATGCCGGGGACATAAAGTCAAACTTGCCTCATGAATCAATGACTTCATCAAATATGCAGCCAGGACAGGTAAACTTTTTGTAAATTGTGTTGCAAACTTTAATAATAAACAAAATTTCTGATTTACCAAAGGAGACCTTCACGAAGCATTCTATACAAAGATCTTGGCAAAATGTGCCACCATGGCATACTCCTAGTTAACATCTTGTGCAAAGTCCAAATATGACGAGCATAATGAAATGGAAAGCAAAACCCAAGCAACAACACCACGTCTCAAATGCTGCAACACCACATCTAGAAATTCACTTTGCCACTGAATATTACACAAAACTTTAAGAATTGATTCTTGCTAGCACCTTTACGATGGCACTTGCTTCCCTATGCTTTTGACTCAAAAGAAGATCGTGTTTGAGTCAATATTAATGTGATGATCATACAATTTCATCCTTCAAGATGTAAGAAGGCAAAGCAACCAATTTTAGCAACATCATACTCAGACTCAACAAAACACCAACATCAATGGCCAAAATCAGAGCATTTCCGACGCATCCCCAACAAATGATTTTCAAGCTTTGGCTCCGTGGAACAGAGAAAGATCTCACCTTAATCGCATGCCTCAGCTCCGTCAATGTTAGCCGTGGGAAGCTTCCTCTTAGACCGAATCCTTCACTTGTTGAGACGGCAGCTTCCTTGCATCAGCTGAAAAATTCCAAACCTTCAAACTTTAAAAGCTTCTCTCTCTCTTCGTTCTCTCTCATGGTTGAAAAATCCCAAGAAGCTGACCTCATCTCCTCCGATCACCACTGCTGGAGTTCTCCTCGTCGGCCACCGGCGGAATATAGATCGTTTTCTGGAAAATCAATACACATGTTGGGCCAATCGCAGCATAGCTTTTCTGGCCTGTTTTGTTTTAGTTGTATAATGGGCCCAGTTTTAAATAGAGAAAACTTATGGGCTTATTTTAAAAATGTAGTATTCAATAGAAGGCCTCTTCTTATGTTCTGCGTTCTTCATTTCAATCCTCGAGGTCCTTTGAACTTTGATTGATATTTGATATCTCCCTCGCGGTTACGTTTTTCATTCTTCTCGTTCTCGGGCAGCCGTAAGTCCGCCGACACCCAGGTTGCCACCGTAGCCGGTCTATCGAAGTCCGCCGTCGATTACTCCCTTGAATTGGAAGTCGAAGGTGCCTTTTCCTATTGTCGAATCTTAAATCTCTGATCGGTTGTCTTTTGGACATGTCCATACTAATCTCTCTTTTGTTTTGTTTTAGTTTTAAATTTTACGAAGACGAATATTGGGGGGGGGGGGGGTGTGTGTGTGTTTTTTTTCTAAGTGCTTTGAGCATTCAACTTTCTTCGCATTGGGAGTTCTTTGTTGCAGTCGCTCTCTTAGCATTTCCTGTACTTCGTGAATATTGTTAAACTGCTTTTTCTCTTTCTGCATTCTTTGTTCTCTTGCTGATTTTCCCTCTTTTTGGTGGTAGGGAAAAGATTAGGTATTCCTGCTTATAGTTTTGTTGTTTTCTGAATTACGGTCGATCTTTACCATAGGTCTCTATAAAAATGTGGGGCTTAACGTGCTTTTCTATCGTTAGAAGAATATGATATGCTATACGTGAGACACTTTTCCTGAAGTAAATTGGTATGTAGACGCCTTATTCTGGTTCTGGTTTCAAATACCCCATTCTTGTTCGCAATTGGGTCTTGTTGCGATTGCATCCTATTTTATTTTATTCTTTTTAAAAAATTATTTTAATAATTTGATTATTTGGGGCTGCCTGTGGATCCTGAGGTTGGGGGTGTGAGAGAGATGGGGCATGGTGGAACTGGTGGCCGTAGGCTTGCCACCCATAGTTGAAGCCAGTTAGATTCATGGCTTTTCCTTCATCTAAACTTGCTTACCATTAGAGAGTTGTCATTTGAGCTTTTTAACCTTGATTTTGATTACAGAACACACACACACAAACACAAACACAAACACACACACACAAAAAAGGCAAAAAGGCAAAATAAATTCTCTGGTAAAAGAAACCTTGATTTTGATTGCCTCATGAAATACTTGTAGAGGTAGAGTGTACACAACTTGATAGATGAGATATCTTGTGTTATTCCTTTTTGGTTTCTAATAGGATGAGACATAATGTTTGGCTGAATGTAACATGTAATAGTTTGGAATTAGGATGATGCTCCAGGTCTGGTTGAAACTACGTTTCTTATGTAATGAAGTGTTCTGCTTAACATGTTTAAACGACAAATTGAACATGAAGTCATAGAACTTCGATATTTCATTTATGTCGGCCTAGATTTTGACCAGAGTTTAAACATGGTCATGTTTCCTAGTTTAAAAGCTAGGGTCCCAACTGCTCAAGTGTCTTGATATTCAATCTCCACATATTAGTATTTGCACTTGACTTGTTCATCATTTCATTGCTGATCTGTGGATTAATATGTGATTGAATGTAAATAACATCAAAAGTGATGCATCCTGTTGCTGTGCTAAGGAGCTTTTGCCACATTCTTAAGCTTTGTCAATATCAGTACAATGATTGTATTCTGAAGGTCTGGTTTTTACAACCCTGCAGTTTCAATATATATATATATACATATAGAAATGCCCGGGACTGAAGTAAATTCAACCATAAGTAAATCAACTGGACTGCCTCGAAAGCGATTCTATCGAGCACGAGCACACAGCAATCCACTGAGTGACTCCCACTTCCCTGTGCCGATATCTCCTAGTCATGTTGACTATTCCCTCCATTACCCTGATCTTTTTCCTCCATCTGGTCAAGCTAGTAACTCCAAGAAGATCCAGTTTGCTGATATTGGCTGCGGCTTTGGTGGACTGCTTATCAGTCTATCAACCCTTTTCCCTGAAACACTGATGATTGGAATGGAACTTCGAGACAAGGTGACAGAATATGTCAAGGAACGCATTTTAGCTCTAAGGGCAGCAAATCCAGGACAATACCAGAATGTCTCAGTGGTGCGTACGAACTCCATGAAGTACATCCCTAATTACTTTGAGAAAGCACAGCTCACAAAGATGTTTTTCTTGTTCCCGGATCCCCACTTCAAAGAGAAGAATCATCGCCGACGTGTAATTAGCCCACACTTGCTAGACGAGTATGCTTATGCTCTTGAGGTTGGTGGGATCATATACACAATAACAGATGTGGAAGAACTTGGGGACTGGATGAAGTCATGTCTGGAGAATCACCCCCTGTTTGAAGCCCTGACTGAGAAAGAACTTGAAGCCGACCCATGTGTGAAGCTGTTAAGTACTGCGACTGAAGAAGGCCAAAAGGTGGCTAGAAATGGAGGACAAACGTTCCAAGCCGTATACAGGCGCATCGCGCTATCTGATCGAACATCCCAGACTTAGGCTGCTCAACCTCATTTTCTGCATTCAGATAATTGGATAGTGAGGTAGTTCATTTGATCATACAGCGTTTGCCATCTTTGATCTGCTATGTTTTGTACCTGGTTGTACTATAGAAAGCAAAAGTCTCAAAGTGACATCAAGATGATTGGGCGTCAATTTGTCCTGATCTTATGTTTCCACTTTCCCAGAAAACATTCCGCATTTTGAGTTGAAGAGGAATTTTTTGAAATAAAAAACTTATTTCTTAATATCATGTACCCAGTAGAAATTTACTTCCATATCTTTTTTTCCATCAAGAGCAAACTTTGAGAAGCTTATCCCAATGTTGTCAGGACCGGATAATCAGTTGGGAAAGTGTTCATCGTGATTAGATCATGGTTCAACTAGTCAATTAAAATAATAAAATTTAAAGATTATATACGAAAAATAAAAAAAATTAAACAATAATTAACCATATTCTTATCATACATGCCAAAATTATAGTCAATTGCATCAACATTATAATGAAATTATTTATTGTCCATTATAAGTAACCAATATCAACAAGTATGCGGCATTAATGATCTAATCAAATCAGTATAAGCTTATATTATTAAATAAAATCACCAATGAATCATTAAATATTTATAACAATAAAGAAAAACTAGCAAGACAATAAAAACACAGAATAACATAATTTTAAGTTATTGAGATTGAAGAAAACGATTCTTGACTAACTATGACTGGTTTTTCAACAATTTTACCGATTTTTACCAGTTTACTGTTTCTCAATTGTACACCTGTAACCAAACCATACTATAGGCCGATTCCTTGTTGAACTGGTCCGTTATGACAACAATGATTTATATCATTTTGTACCCTATATATAATTGCCTACTTATGAGTTATTTTAAACTAGGATTGCATAATTAATATTATCTTCATGTATATTTCATTAGGAAATTTAATTTCTTCTATAAAAATCATTTGAGACTGCATATAGATTAAAACCATGTAGGTTTATCCAAGTGTTATACAGTCTAAGTGATGCCTGTGACTTAGAAAAAGTAGGACTCGATAAAAATATATAATGTTATGTTGTTAATTGTTGTTGATTAGGTCAAGCTCAAAAAATGAAAGGATTATTTATAACTTGTAAACAATCTAACTTTTCCTAAATTTTATACTTTTATATTGAATGAATATTGATAATAGAGATGGCTGTGGATAATGATTATTCATTTATGTGCAAATATAAATAAAAATGACATAAATCTCAATAATAAATACTTCCTCCAATTTTAAATACTTCCTCCGTTAAAAAATATAAGGTATTTTTTGAAGAGTTGAATGTTAAAAAATATAAAGCATTTTTAGTCTTTCGAGATGTAATTAATGTTTTTTTTAAGTGCCGCTATTGATAAATGACTTTATATTTATTGTAGAGTATTTAGTAGGGACAAATATAAAAAAAATAAAGTTAATTTGAAAGTAAGTAACTACTTCATTAATAGGTAAGATTCGATTAAGAATGTTTTATATTTTTTAGCAGAGAGAATATAAGATATTAATGACTTGTGAAGAATGACGGATATAGAACCTTCTTTTTGTATAAAAAAAATAAGTTTCTTGTTTTTTCTCCACTTTTTAAAATTTTTAATATTAATTTTTATAAAAGAATATTAAATTTAAATGATGTGATTTTTGAGTGTGTATTTTATCTTTACAACATGAAAGAGCATTGAGGAGTTGAAAATGAGTTGATGATATGTGCCAACGACGTTATATTACATGTGAGCTGTGCGCCCGGTCGGTTAGCTTGGCGGTCTGATTGGGGCAATGGCTGCGAACGCAAGAGAAGCCCGAAGAAAGAAAATCATGGAGCGCGGATCCGACCGCTTAGCTCTTATAACGGGTCGGATCCAAGATGTTCAGCCTCCTCCTGCTTCTTCAGCTTTTTCCCACTCCCAACCATCCGATGCTTATGCGGATTCTTCTCCTGCTCCGTTGATTATAAACGATCAAACTATTCCATCCGCAATTTCCCATCCTAACTCCGGTGGTACATTTCTTCTTTCTTGGGGTTTCTTTTTTCAAAAAAATACTTTCTTTACTGTGTCATTTATGATTAGATTCGCAATGTATTGACGTATTCTGTATAATTGGGGCGTGTAATTATCTCTTTCTTTAATTCGACATGCGCTGGTATCTGAACTCTGATGTGGCAGTAAATATATAATTATAGCTTGTTAAGTAGTCTTCTATCCGCTTGCGTAAGTATGGCTGGATTTTAATTTGCTCGTGAGTCGCTTGAATTTGAGTGATAGTTCAACTTTGATTTTGTTGTTCCCCTTTTTTCGGATTGGTCAGGATGATAGAAAGGATTGCAATTGATGAATTCTCCTCGTGTGAGTGGATTTTCACTAAATATGGTTTTTAATGGACAATGACAGCTGATCATCCTGATTTTATTTATTTATTTACTCAAGTTTGTTCAAATTGTTCATGGACTAAGGTGCAACAGGTTATGTTATCAGTGATCTTATAATTTCAATGTGGATATTTTACTCATGCTATGGAATCGTGAACTAAGACCAAGAGTCAGGACTGGTAATCAATATATCATAGAAAGATAAATTGCATAGAATTGTGTGGCTCGCCACTTCCTGCTGCAATGCCCATGGGGCTCAGATCAAGATCTAGGCTTGGACTCCTTGAAGTAGAGATCTCATTTTAAAACATGATGGAAGGTGTCAATTTGGGGTCTCTTCTCAATTATTGGAGTCATACATGCAGCCTAGGAATACGCTGTGTGGCAAGGAAGTGAATTTGGGGTAAGCCTTGAGAGGGGAAAGCTTGTTAAAAATCCTTAAGGTTGGGACCATATCCATACACAATCTCCTAGAACTCTGCTTTAGAGGCACAGGACCAGGATAATGTTGTTCGTTTTGCGTTGCCTAAGAAAATGTATGTTGCAAAATGGGGCCTTCACCATTCATAACGGCCCCTTGACAATACTATGAAACCTAGCGGACCTAAATATGGTATCTCTTCTGGAAAGAAAGCAACTATTTGATGTCATTTTAGAGACTGATGGTGTAGCTTAGAATTAAATACTCCAGTAGCTTTTCTTTACTTCATAAATGCTGTGCTCCATCATTAATGAAGGACTGCAAAATGAACTCTTTATAGCAAACCTGGTCAATGAGTGGAATAAACTCAGGTAGTAATTTACAGATCTTTAAATTATTGAGGAGTTAGTGAAGTTATATTGTAACTTTGCCTGGCGGGGCAATGTGACATTAAATGACAATAGGAAATGTGCTCATATAGTTTATCAGGTAGGTTCTTTGGTTTATTATCTTCTAACCAATTGACAGCTCATTAGATATCTCGTTAGATCTGAACTTGGGATAGTCAGTGGCATGACCTAGCAAAATCATCATTGTAACTGTCAGTTAAAGCTTTATTTATCCCTCTGCTGTGAACTGGAAATGTATGACTTCTTTCTTTTACTGATCAGTTTTCTTTATGTGCAGTTTCTCCTCAAGATGAGGCAGAGGTGTCTGGTCCAGTTTTATTAAAACCTGATCCTGTTACTGATCCTGATCACTCAAATCCTTGCAAAAGCAGCAACCAGGCACCTCCATTGCGTGAATTGGAGCATAATCAAATTTCACATGTGCCTACTTCTGAAGTTGAACAAGTGCAATCACCTCCAGGTTCAACTGTTGTTTCTTCAGAAGTTGATCAAGTACAACCACCTCCAGGTTCAACTGTTGTTTCTTCAGAAGTTTATCGACTACAACCACCTCCAGATCCATCCAGTTTTATTCTAGGAGCTGAGCAACAGTCATCAGTTCAGTCTCGGGACCCTAAACTTTTCACCCCCAGAGAAATAAGTTCTGCCATCACTGCATCAAAGATTACCCGCCTTTGTTGTTCTGTTGTTGTAGCCCTGCTAGTAGTTTTCTCTTACCTAGGATTTCCCTTGCTGGATAACAAATATGTGAAGAGTATACTAAGCTTTAGGCCGCTCTACTTGGTTTTAGTGACAAATGTAACTGTTGTAGTTGCACAACTTCTTTCCGGCAAACAAAGAGGTTCTGAAAGTGCTGCGGGAACGCAAAATAGAACTTCTTCTGACGCAGATCACTGGACTGAACATCTTGGCAGGGCATTGGAAGCAGCTTTGGTCATGCGGAATGTGATGGATGCTATGTTCATGGATTGTGCTTCTTATGCAATCACTGTCATATGCGGCCTCTCCCTTGTGCAGTTGTTTCGCCAGTAATTTTTTTTTTTTAATCACTCTGCCCCTAGATCTGTTTCCTTTCCCCGCTGTTTGCCTTATCTTGTTATTTCTGTAATTTTTGGATTGGCCTTCACTGAACATGACTGACGTTTAGTTCACCTATAGTCTGGGTTTGGATCTCCATTAAGGCTTTGTTCATTGATTTGTTTTCCTGTACTACATAGGCCTTTGGCGAATAGAAGAGACATTTGAGTATTATTGGCACTTAAATTTAATAAGTACAATGCATAGAATATTATGGACTTGGATCTACAATGAAGAAAAAGCATGTTCTATGATGTTGCAGTTCTATCTATCATGTAATGAGTTGCGAAATTTGTCATTATGAAATGAATTTGTGGTTGTAGAATAGGTATGCGGTTATCACTTACCAGGCTGATATGGTGGTGCCGGCAAGACTAAGTAAAGCTTTTTCACTTGGATCAATTTTGAATTATGGACAGAGTATTAATCAAAATGTAACGTAGTTAATTATATTAGCCGAGTTTGGAACGTAAATGAAAAATAAACTACAGAAACCATTATCGATGTAAAATATTTAAAGATATTTTGTTTGCAATCAGTATGCGAATGGAATATGGTGTTGATTGGCATGGACGAACAATTATTTAAAACTATAAAGCTTACAATCCTCTCAAACTCCATTGCAAATTTTTCAAATTATATGAAATTACAGAGACTTGAGAAATTGATTTGACCACATATTTTGAGCACTTGATCGGATCCCATCCTCTTTTTGTTAATTTGCCTCCAAATCTATCCCAACTCAATGAAATTTGGATTTTTCAGTTGAAATTATCGTTGATGAAGTTGATCAACTGAACATCATTAACTCACTTGTTTTTAGTATAATACCTGACTTCTTTTTTCTTTTCTTTTTTCTTTTTTTTTTGGGTGAATTCAGCAGGGTCGCGTTTGAGAAAAGTACAGCAAGAAAATCCGAATTTGGCAATCAGTGCCTCCTAGATTTGTTTCCCAAACAATGGATTAGTATTAGACAATTCAACAACAACGATAATGATGATACAAGAATGACCACAATGAAGAAGCCGAGGAATTTCTCCAGACATTTACCCCTTGAATTGAATTAGATCTCCGCTTGAGTTGCTTCTATTTTTGTTCCATTTGTGATTTTGGACTTTGAATAATCAGCAACAAGAATGATCGATCACAAAGCAGATTGGAACTGCTTCATTGCAAGCCCCTTGATCTCAAAGGATCTTTTTCTACTGTTGTATCATCCTTGTAAGTGCCCATTTGTTTTTCAGTTTCAGGTGCGGTCTTGCAAAACCTACAATTTTTTACTTCTCACAAATGTTGCCTGAAAAATCTCCCGAAAGCACATTTGAAGTTTGAAAAGTGCTATCCAAACAGAGCCTAAGTGTATATATTTATCTGCATCAACTACAATCCAGAAAAGAAAAAAAACAAGAAGAATCTTGTCAGAGCTCAATCATCAGATTAGGGACTTGCACATATCAGAATTTATACCAGCGTGTAAAGAACTAGCGAATATAACACATCCAAATGAGAAAAATACTTGGCTCCCTTTGAAAGACTAACTTCAAAATGTGTTTCTTTCCCAAAGAACAGAAACTGTTCTCTTACATTTTTAAGGTTGGAATTAGCCTTTAAATGGGGAAGGCGATATGCAGTTTTCCATCTATACGTTTGACTTGGATTAACCATACATTTATATATAACTACCAGATGGAATTTCATCTTTCTCTTTCAAAGCAAGTCTAACACCTCCAATACCAGTAAACTATCTAACCATAAGGAGCATGTAGAAGATTCGGTACTTCTTGCACAACAAATCACCAGTTTTACGTCAAATATGCTATTTACAAGCTATAAATCCTCTAGCTCTACACAAGTTCAATATCTATAGTTTTATGTCATAAGATCCTCTCACCCTGTGAGTGTCCACATTGTAGCCATGAGATTTCATTAACATTTGAAAATTCATGCTTGACCAAAAACAAACAAAACGGTGAGTTAAAGGATATGAGGATATATTTCAATCATTTCTCTACAATCATACGAACCATTAAATTAAGGTAGAGATATGCGTTGGTTTTCTCTTTGTATGTGCCTACATCTTCAGCTGCCGTTCGATGAAATTGACAATCTCTATAGTGCCAGTGGACACTCATCGAATGAGAGAATTTGGGATACTCAACTGAATCCGGATCCGCCAAAAGACAGGTTAGTACTTTCAGTTTTACCAACTAATATTAGCTTTAAGCATTGTGTAATGTATATACTTGAATTATAGTCACAACTCACAATTCTTGTTGTTGTTGTTATCAACCTCAAAACAAATAACACAGTTCATCCGATCTCATAATAGCAACCCCAAAATTTTCCTATCAGGGCAATTTCAAGCTTCATTCCCAATCATCACACACTAACACAAGTGGCGCTCTTATAATGTACTTCATTTTCAGCCATGGTTTCTAAATATAGCACATTACCTTTTGTTTGAAGTCATCTTGACACTGGCTTCTGCAACAAGGCAGTCAAGTAGACCTCTCCGTTCTTCAAACCGGCGATGTCTGTCTTGTTCGCCGTCGCCCACTTCACTCTCTTGTACCCCAATTTTCCGATCAGAGGTCCATACACAGTCTCAAGATCCACCCCTCTGCTGAAAAACTGATCCACCCACAAGTACCCACCACTCCTCAACACTCTATCAACATCATACAGTAGAAACTCCATCATCGTCGCCGGAATCCACCGGTTCACGGCACGCCCGCACCGGACCACATCCACCACCCCGTCGAACACCGGCAGCCGCTGCTGCAATGGCACGTGCAGCGGTACCAATCCCCTCAGCGCCACCGCCTCATTGTACGGCGCAGCCACGTTCATGGTCGTCGTCACAACCGTCACGTTATGCATCTTCATCCTCGCAGCAAAAGTCCCTGTTCCTCCTCCAATGTCGAGTCCTAATCGAATCACAGACTTAGCGGCTCTCGCAATCTGTAATAACTGAGGTATTGGGAGGTCAAGTTCAGACTTGTAGCTCATAAATTTGGTTATTTCACGAGACGCATCGAAACCCAGATTCGGATTCAGTCGATTTAAACAATCGAAGCTCTTACAGGAGTACTTGTCCCATATAACATTAGAACTCGGAAGAGAAGAAAACGGGTCACGGGGAAGGGAAGAAGAAGCGGGTTTTTGTGGGGTCAGTGAGAAGCATCTCCGGCGAGGAAGTGGGTGGCAGCCACGGAGAATGAGAGCCTCGGCGAGGTCAGAATCAGAAGGACAGAGCGAGAACGGAGTGTAGTTCATGTACTTGTGAAGAAGCTCAGGGTAGTCATGGCAAGAGGAAGCAATAGGAGAGAGACGAGAGTAAAGCAAGAGATCTGAAGGAATGGTGTGTTTAGTAGCAGCAGAGGTAGGAGAAGTGCTAGTGTCGGCAGCAGCTTGCTGGAGGCGCGTGAGTCGGTTGATGGTGGCGCGTATCGAGTGTAGTTGGCGGAGGAGGTGGTCGGGGATGGATTGGGGAGGAGGGTTGGCGGGAAATATGACGGTGGAAGAGAGGTGGTAGAGAGAGATAATGTTGGAAGCAACCATGGCCACGAGAAGTACAAGGTTGAGGCTCATACTGAAACTGAAAGCCATTGTGGTCTCTGTAACTGCAAATTCTCAAGGCTTAGTAGTGGAGTTTTTATGATCGTTACTTAGTGAAAGCAACAAACTCTGTAAGTTGTATTATTAATTAAAGTCAGAAAAGGAATTGAATGATTTCGTGAAGATGCAGTGTGGGTGGACGATCATGGAAGAGAATCAGAAGAGGAAAGCGGGGAAAGGTGGGGCCTTTAAACTCAGATGTCGGCTACACTCCCCCCTAAGAAACTTAACTTCAAGAAGGTGTGCTCCTTGGGTGATCCATTTCGGATTTTAATTTATAATTAATGTTCGAGCTTTTATCCTTCTCTAATTTATTAGTTATTTTTCTAGGAATTAATTTTTATTAAATATTTTATAATATAATTAGACACATTTTCCCAGATGACAAAATCAACTTCATTAATAACTACCATTGTCCAGTACTTCTTTAATTATATTTATAAATCACTTTTAATATATTTTATTAATATTAAAAAAAATTTAAAATTTATTAACTTTATTTTAAAATTTAATCAATTTTTAACTTTATCTTTATTAAATATGGAGACTTCAATAGTATATTTTCTCTCTCCAACATTCAATGGACTATAAGAGAAAAAATTTATGATAAAAATTTAATGACGTAACTTATAAATATAATGAAAATTTTTCTTTTACCCTCCATTAATTGTTGGAGAGAAAAAATATATTACTGAAGTATGTATATTTAATAGAGAGAAATTTAAAAACTTATTAAATTTTAATATAGAGTTAATGAGTTTTAAAGTTTTTCTTGATACTGATAAAACATGTTGAAAGTGACTTATAAATAGGATCGTAAGAGTATAAGCTTCTTGCCAAGTTATAGAACACTAGGACAAAATTTAATAAATACACTTTATAATTTTATTTTTAAAATAAAAATATATACTTTTAAAAATTATTTATTTAATATTCTATTTATAAAAAAATATATGAAACAAGTAATATTAAAAAAATATTATCAATGAAATGTTATTTTTATTTAAAATATTTTATATTTAAGATGCTGAATCTTTTTCAAAATATTTTATAATTTAAAATAAAAGTACTACTGCAAATCTCATACTCCCTTCGGTTAACCGAATCTCACATTTCAATAAAATAGTTACTTACTTTCAAATTAACTCTATCTTTTTATATTTATTCCTATTAAATACCCTACAATAAATATAAATTTATTATTAATAGGGACACTTTAAAAAAAATAATGATTACACTTCAAAAAACTAAAAACACTTTATACTTTTAAATGTCCAACTCTTCAAAAAATATCTTATATTTTTTAACGGAATGAGTATTAATTATACAATTCACACAACCTGTTTTATGTATTTACAATGATGAATTTGCTAAATGGATTAATAGTAGCCTATGTCTTGCCAGTTTTAAACATATTTTTTAATACTAATACAATGAGTAAACCCTGTTAATAATAGAGGTTATCATCTTCCACGAGTATTGAGAGTATAGAATTGACCACTCTTATGAGTACTAAGAGCATATAACCAACTTTTCCTAACTAAGTTACTGTATACATAAAAATTGAAAATTCAAACTTTCAATTACTCTTTTAAATAATAAGAATCCTCACCACTCTTGTTGGTTAAACATTTATTTGAAACAACCATGTTCACAAGTCAAAATCAATACTAATCACCTTGACTTACGTTTTGTTTTACATCAATCTAATGATTTAATTTTGAAGTTAACAGGAACACATTTTAACCCTTAAGATTAAAACTTTGAATGCCTCCAGCTTTCGTTGGCCAAATAAAAAAAAAAAAAAAAAGAATGCCTTCAGCATTTCATCAAGTTGATTTTCACACTTCACATTTAGACAAAGATGGGCCCGGAATGCTATTGAAGGCACGCCCAGAACGGTGGCCCTTTATTAAATGGTCAAAACTTGACCTTCTGTTCATATTACGAGCTTTTCAATAGGACAACAGGTTTAAACTTCAAAACTCACCTACAGCGTCACGAAACAAAATATAAAATTCAACAGAAAAGGACAGGCTGACATCAGTATAGTGTATTTTCTTTTCCTTCTGCAACAGCACAGTGAAAGGGAAAAAAAAATTCTCCCAAGAAAATAATACCTTAAGAAGAATTATAGCGAATGAGATGAACTTCGGAGAACAATTTTCTAGTTCCGCAATGGATTAAAACAAATTTAAAATGAGTATCAACAAAGAGATTCCAGATCTGGAAACTTTGGAGAATGAATAGCCATTGCATTTCTCTTCACACAATCCTCTCCAACTCCCTAGCATAACTGAGTGTCTGGTTGATGAGTTGCAGTGATGGTATTTCTTTGCAAGGCGCTGATTCTTTGGCTTTATGGAAATGCACAGCGCCGTTAAGGACCTCCCACTCAGGATGCTCCTGCAATCAAGGAAAAAAAAAAAACTTTAAAACACAGAATGAAATCAAAATGTACAATGATGAGATGGAGATCTTCCTATTTTTGTTGCATATGTGTTAAAGAAAGGTTAAATTATTTACTTAAGCTAAAAAGATTGGTCAAATTTCAATTTAAGGGGGAAAAAAAGAATTTACCCCTAACCTCGCCCTTCCTCATAAGAAAAGAATAAGAAAAGAAGACATGCACTCCCACACACGAACACAAACATGTCAATGGCTAGCTGTCCTAATAATAGCACCTCTCCCTCACTTGGAAGAGGTTCTGGATTTTTTCAATTCAATCCTTGCAGTAAAAGTGTATTTTTTTTTTTATTTTAATCAAGTCCCAATCACTACACCTCCGTCCAGATGCACACTATAGCGATAAGAATGACCATATGTTATGTTTTCTTCGCATTCTGAACATGCATATCATAAACAAAGAATGTTAAGATGGAGAAGATACAATAATACTCACCTCTTTCATATATTCAAAGAGTTCTTGGTCAGATGAAAATAACAACATTTGGCGAGCATTATTTATCGAAAGATAGTCATACGCCTTCTCACTGCATCCTGCTATTTCATCTCTGAAAGTTGCAAAACAAATACCTTGTTAGAAAATCATTATAGATAAGTTTATCTGGCATGTCATAAGACGGAGCCAATACAAAGAATACCATTTAGAGAGTGTAAGAAAGTTAATAATGTGCCCAATGCCTGGAATGACAATCCTGAATTCCCAACCCAAGACTAAAAAGCCATGGTCTCATGGCTTATATCATTGTGGTTTCTTTCTCTCAATCAATAGTTCATTAAAATTAGTTAGCTAAGCCCCAGTTTTGAATAAAATAAATCTAGCTAGTGTGCCTGTTTCTTCCTGTTCACCATGTTAGTTTCATCAACTAGGCTATCAGCAGAAATTGAAAATTCTATTACCTGACTGTCTTAGCCAAAAGATCCATGAAGTAAACATATGTGTCATGTGGCACTGTCTGTCGGGCACTCAGGACCCGATTGTAAGCACCTTCCATAAAGGATTGCTCCAACTCCACAGCATGCTTAATGCAAGGATTTTCAAGAGCAGTGGATGAAAGCAATTCCAACTCTGTATGAAATTCAGCAATCCTATTCTGCACTAGTAGTCTCAACAAGTTGAGACCTAATATGGGGTGCTCCTGGGGGGATGGAGGAATACGGTTGCTGCACCACAAAAACATTGACTCTTGAGAATATACTGAGAGGTAGAAAAGAAAGAAGAGATGCATAAGAAAAGCAGATACATGGGGGGATCACATGTAATGAGGACTAGGTCAATGACAACAATTAATGCATAAACATAAACAAGGGAGTTGTCCTAGACATATTGTAAATAACTGAAAGATTACTGCACACAGACATGCACCTCAGAACTGATACTACTTTTCTTATCTGTTTCTTGACATGCGAAGTTTATGAAAACTAGTGATCAAACAACGCCCTTGATATGTGTAGCACTATCACAGTGGCAACAAAAATGCATACATGGTGGAAAAAGGCAAGAAACTAGTTACCGTGCATCTGTATAGTATGGTTTTAACTGGAAGAAATCCCTCTCAAAGGCATCTTGATCCTCCATTTTCACACTAAGGACAACAGCATGCTCATATATATCCCCTGCAAGTTTCAAATACTAATGAGAAATAGAACAATGCCAGATCAATATAATTCTAGCAGGTACATACTTATAAGATTCAGAGTCACCAGCAAAATAAAAAACAAAAAAAAAAAACAAACATTTGTAACATAGTCTCTTATCCTCCTTTAATATCTCAATTAATTTATATTTTCCCCTGAAACGAAGTTAATGATCTCTCAGGTACTTTTACCATGACAAACTATGACAATATTCATAGAAAGACTGTCTTCCTAAACCATGGTAGAAACTAGAAAGAATACACTGAGACACTGATGAAGTCATGGCGACATCCAAAAAGTTCAACATTTTATCAAGAAAGCTGGCGGCCATGCAATTATATGGTAAAAATTTACAATATCAACCCATACTTATCCAACTCACCCACAAAGTTAATATCAATTCATATTATAGTTGAATAGAGAATGCACGTCTATTTGTAAAAATAGTAGCCTTAGAAAAGTTTACAGGTAAAAATTAGAATAGGAGAAAAACCAGATTGGAGTCAAGAAAGTCTACTTGCTATTGTTAATTCATGGCCGGCATTAGGTGTTTCTTCAAACAAAGGTGGAAGGCTTCTGAACTCTGTTAGTGACACCTGAAAGTAAACGAGTTTAAGTCATTATCTACACGGATGAGAAAAAAATCCAATTGGAGTGCTTTGGAAATCAAATGAGAAACCCGAGACCTTGCAAACAACTATCTTACACATATACACAAAAACATCACCTAATCCCATAAGCTATTGCTTCCAGCTTTGTGCATTGATCACATATACAAATTAATTTCCAAGTAAAGCCGCCCTTTGAATTTGTTCCTATACCAAAAAGTTTACCACCCAATACCCAACTTCCTGTTGGGTCCTCAAGCCCTCGGCACACCAAAAGGTTTGCCAACACATACTTGGGGAAGGTCCAATTGCCATTCACCTAGCAGGATGGATTGTTCTAGATGCATTGTCCTAGAATAACCACATATACTAAGTAACCACTTCCGCGGCCTCAAAATTTGAAAATCTTTGGTTTCATAACACAATTAGCCCATGTATAAGCAACCTAGACAAACCGACACACGGTGGTGCAAAATTAAACCTGCGTATATTCCAACCAAGATTGAAGTTAAACTGTTCTCCACCACTGCATCAAACAAATGGTGTTTCCACTAAATCATCCGATGTCAAATTTGTCTTCGCTTCATCTCTTCTTTTTAATACCAACCAACTAAATAGATTTTCAAAAACCCAGGGCGGCCATAAAAGTTTACGAGAATTGACTTCTACAATTTTCACAGAAATTTCACAAAATTTTCTATCCCAAGGCACAATAGGTGACAAGAATTGAACTACTAAACTAGGGTTTACAGCTTACTTACCTTCAACTGGGAGAGGAGATTACTGCAGGTGTCAAAGTCATTCCTCACAAACGCAGCTTTAAAGCGCTCAAAGTGCTGAGAGACCTCTGTTAGCTTCGGATCCATGTATCACTGCTTTCACCGTTGGAAGTGCAGAAGGCTGATTACTTCGAACTACACGGAGAGATCGAAATTACGACGATGATCAAAATGATGCTTTTCTTGAGGCGGCGGTTTTCGAGAGTTCTCACAGGGCCAAAACAACAACAATGAGAATTTGGATCTGGGCCTACGAGTGGGCCTAACCTGGGCTTAAAAATTAAAGTTTTTTTATCCAAAAAAAAAAGATGTTTTTAAGTTAAATGCCAATAATACATGTAGACTAATTTCTCAAAAAGAAAATGACCAAAAGGTTTGGCTCTCCCAATTTTATTTTATACACAACATATGCTATAAATTACAGGAAAACTTTGCCTTAACAATTCAAATGAAATATCAAATATATATATATTCGCATGACTAACCCCCCCTTTTTTTTTGCCATTCATGAGCAACTTCAAAATTTGCAAAAAGTACTGCTCATTTTGCAAGTTTTTTGGGTTGATTTTGCAATATTTTTTTTTTAGGTTTTGACATTGTAATTTTTAAATATCTTTCACATTTTGAAACTTATACTTCTTTAAAAAATGTACGAAATGGTGCTTATTTTGGAAATCTTCTAGTTGATTTTGCAACTTCTCTTACTCAATTTTTAAGGATTTTTCATTCGGTCCTTCATACAAATAGATCTCTCATTTAGTTTAAAATTTTTTTTCAAAATTAAATTACCATTCATTTAATTTGATCATCCTCTTGGGTTAAACAAATCTCAAATTAAAAATTAATTACCCACAAGTCCTTTTTTACTAACAATTACCCTCAAATCCTATGTAAATATTAACATTTGAGATGTAAATGAAATAAAAAAAATAATTAATTTTACTAATAGAGGTTATGTCTAACAAAAGAAATTGGTCTATGACAGTGTGACAAGAAAATTCAAATTTCAACTAAAATAGATACTCATATTTAATAGCTGGCTTGGTGCCAAACAAAATTATAAAACACATCTGCAAACAATAAAAAATTAATTAATTCTCTTCTTTGTGCAATGTGTTTTAAATTTTTTATTTTTTTATAAAATTAAATTTTTAATTTTTAAATGCAAGACTGGTCTTGGGCTTTTTGGTCTTTTAACATTATCCCAAAAATAAAAAAAAGTAAAACCTAATCTCCACCCTCCTGCCTTGATGCCTTCGGCCGTCTCTGCTGAGTCCTGACCTGAGTGTCGTCTCTTCCATTCTTGGCAACCTTCGCATTCCCTCTCCGGTCTCTCAATCTCACACTTGGTCTCTTCCTAATCTATCACACTCCCACGTCTCTCATCGCTTCTGTTGTTGATTACTTCTCTCAACTTCTTTTTGTTATTGTCAACAATTTTGGACTTTACATAGCACCAACCTGCTGATTTAGTTGAAATATAATTTTTAATAATGACACTATCTGGATTGAGTGGTTGCCCCTCAAGATGTCTCCAGCTTCCTTCTCGCTTGGGGTCACCGCATCTCCAAATTGCAGCTTTTTCTGGGTTTGGGAAGCCCAAGCAAGACCTGCACTTTCTCCAAGTAGAACAGTATGCCCTAAAATTATAACCTGTTGGATTTTAACTCTATATTATGGTTTTGCATGGTTGAAATGATAAATGGCATTTCTCTGTAACTTGTCACAGGATCAATTTGGTGGCTTCTAGACTTAAACGTGCTGCCCGGAAAATGCAAGTGGTCAAGAGTGCCATGGATGCTTCTTATGGTGATATGACAAATGAATCTCCTGGTAACTTTTGTTTCTTCGTGGTCCTTTAGTTTTACATATCATTACCCTGAAGATGCCGTTGCAGGCTTGACATGTTGTGAAACTGTTATTCAAGTTAGGCGGACTTATTTCTCTGGAAGAAATATATTTTAGGAATAAACGAGACTGGCGTGAGAATTTTTTTTGACCTTGGTAAATGTCTTGCTCTTGTTTGACTGTAACACTAGGAGCTTTCTAGTGCTTCTGTTCTTTGTTTAGTTGAGTTGAGCAAACTCGTCCATGTCAAAATCTTTGAACGACATCCCTGAGCTTTAGAAGTCTCTGAAAGTACACTAGGCACTGAAATTGAAGTATACGTGCTATTGAAGCAGCTAGGTGAGGTGGCTGTCTTGTTAAATGGAGGAAATTGCTTAAAATTTGGGCATTTTTGCAGAATTGGTGATAAATGGTACCATACAGAATGACATTGCAGGAGTCTTTTCCCTGTTATATCCCCTCTCGATGAAAATATCTATATTCATATGTCATATTAGGATTTTTTATTCATTGATATTAGCTACTTAAATTTTCTTTACATGATAATTAAAATCCTGCGTGTGTCATGCATGCATGTGGGCGTCTTTGCAAACACCTATGTATATACACACACTTCAACGCTAGCATACTTATATGTGTGTATAACTACAATTATGATTTTTTTTTTTTAGTTTAATATCTGCTCATTGGCTGCTAATTCAGCTGTCTTTCCAAGAATAAATGTGAGGGACCCATACAAGCGACTTGGAATTAGCAGGGAAGCTTCTGAAGATGAAATTCAAGGAGCAAGGAACTTCTTAATTCAAAAATATGCAGGACACAAGCCAAGTGTGGATGCAATTGAATCAGCCCATGACAAAATTATCATGCAAAAGTTCTATGAGCGGAGGAACCCGAAAATTGACTTGAAGAAGAAAATGAGGGAAGTGAATCAATCTCGGGTTGTTCAATCTGTGAGAAGCAGATTTCAGACTCCATCTACAAAGTTCATCGTAAAAACATCTGTCACATTCTTGTTGCTCGGAGCTCTTACTGTTCTTTTTCCAACTGAGGAAGGGCCAACTCTTCAGGTGTTAATATCTCTGATAGCTACAATGTATTTTATATACGATCGGCTGAAGAGCAGGATTCGAACCTTACTCTATGGGTATGTAAAGGATAACGTGTTGCTTTTCTCTAAATTACTATGAATATGCAAGCTGTGGTGTATTCTTAGTTAAACCATGGTTCTGCAATTTTTAATGCATATCTATTATCCGTATGTTGAGATAAATAATTGCAGTATGATACTTGTATTGCTGCCATACGTATTAGGATTTAACTATAAACTTTTTTGCTTTGTGCAGGGCTGGCTCATTTGTTTTTTCCTGGCTATTAGGAACTTTCTTGATGGTGTCAGTAATTCCTCCTATTCCTATAATTAAGGGACCAAGAACTTTTGAGGTGATGTCATCATTGATAACATATGTTTTGTTATGGGTTTCATCCACCTATCTTAAGTAGTGCTGCCTTGTTGATTATAATGGAATTTGATGTGTAGGAAGTGGAGTTTTTGTATTGTTGTGTTTGGTGTAATAGAATCAGGCTTCCAAAGGAATTCCTATCCCATTAAATTGGCCGTAACCTGGTTCCTTCAAAAAGCTTCCACGAAAATGAACAGGGCATGAGAGTTTCTAAGTGCTGGGCTAGTTTTCACTGTGCATGTGCCCAATTTTATTGTGGGTTGGCCTTGTTCCGATGTCAAACTGTACCTAAGCACTATCGCTTAAGCACAATTTGATGAGTGACTCAGGCCCTTTGAACAGGTTGAATTTCAAAGTTTTGGAGATGAAAATGTTTTGTTAATTTGTTTTGATGCGTACGGATGTTGAAGCTTCACTCTCCAACTTCCACATTAAACTTCCCTTCATAGTCTGTTATTTTTCATCTTCTCTAAGCTTTCATAATTATTCTCCCGTCACAAAAGATAATATTGGAGAAATTTTGTCTCAAAATATAAAATAATTTAAGAAAAATAAAATTTGATTTATGATATTTTTTCAATATTACCTTTTAAGTAGAGAAAGAATTGAAAGATGTTATAACATAATGATTAAATAAGTAAGAGGAGGTTTATAGTTTTGTTTTTAAAAAATAAGTTTATGAAGTGTTATTATTGTGTTTTATTAGTGTATAGTTTTATATAAATCACTTATAATTTAGGACCCAAGGAGAACAAAACAAGAATGCCATTCTTGATAGGTTTAATGTATGGTTGGTTTATATTGAAATTCATCAAAATCGTGTTTCTGATGGATTTATTTACACCAAAACCGTGGGTTTTGCATATTAAACAAGCATGCGTGGTTCCGAACTAATAATCGGAGAGAATTATGTTCGATTTGTTCATTGATTAGTGCCAAAAAGGAAAATTTAAAAAAAACAGAAAATACTAAATAGACATCTTTAACACTATAAAGTAGGCCTCTAGTATTGGGAAAATCACCTTGTTTAAAATACAAGATATTTTTTTTAATAGAAATTAGTTTCAACATATATAGAGCAGCAGTTTTTGTAAAGTTATATGTTTCAATATAGAAGACATTTCATGGAATTTTAAGACTAAGTAATAATTTTTTGAAATAACCTTACAAGGATGTCAAAATTATTTGTCTTACACCTAACGAATAATTAATTATTGGAAGTATTAAAGAAGAAAAAAGTTGTAAAAAATATTAAAATTTTAACTACGTAATTGTTTTCTCTTGATAAATATATGTCAGGTAAGATTATTTTATATTTAAACAAAAGGTAGTGGTATTATTCTTTCAGTGCTTACGGGTATTATTTTATTAGTGATAATCCTGTTCAAAGTACAGTTAGGTATTTAATCTGAATATTTTAATTCACTACATTATGAAAGAATAATTCATTCCACTAGATTTAACATCCTTTGATGGGGAGGTAATAGTGTTAATTATTAAATTTCATGCACCTAAAACGCCAATCGTGATGCTTTGAAAGGTTATACACCAATTACGGACATAATTATAAAAAACAGTTTTATCAATCAGTTTGGATTTAGCAAAAGAGATTAATCATTGAGTTAAGGTCATTTTTGTTTTTTGAATTATACATAAAATATTACAAATATTTTTAAACTCAATTATGAGTCAATTATATCCATCAACTTTAAAAACTCTCTCCGTCATCACTCTGCATTTTTCTCATTATTAATGGACCTTACATTATATTTTTTGATATATTTGTCATTATAAAATATTTGAATTGAAAAAAAATGACCCTTAACCTGATAAAAAATATTAAAAAATAATGAAACTTATTGATGACTAACATACATTTAGTGTTTTTAATGTTAAGGTGATAATAAAAGGAATTTTTAAAATTGAGAGACATAATCAATACATAATTGAGTATATGAGTGTTTTATATATAATTAAGGAATAAAAATGACTTTTAAACCTTAATTATTTATAATATGATGAATTAAAATTTGAAGCATTGCTAGAAGATGTAACTTACTCGTTTACTCGTTTACTGTCTGATTATACTTTAAATGTAGTTATCTCTGGTAAAAAAATATCTATAAAATTTTTTTAAAAAAATTCTCGTAGGAGGGTGTCAATGAACACCGTCAAACCCGTCCGGTGAAGTTTTCCTCGTATCCTTTCCAAGTAATGTGGGACCCGTTATTCTGGAGTTGGGTACTTTTTCACAACAACAAAGTAGGATAGGACCTCGGAATTGGTACATCTTTCGTTTATGAAGAATACAATGAGCGCTGCATTAATTATCAATTATTTAAAAAAGGGACTAGAGAGCATAATCTAACCGATTGGACCGCCAGCTAGTTATTATTTTCATTTGGTTTATTTTAACTTTTGAACCGAATGGGGCCGCTCTGAACCAATGGTTAGATCTGGAATTTTTTTTTTTAAAAAAAAGCAAATCAAGACAGTTTTGTGAAAACTGATTGCTTCAATTTGTTCATATTGTTCCAATTTTAACCTTAAAAAAATCTCTCACTTTTCACGTAGCATGAGAAGGTAAAAATGAATTTAATTTGTGCATTCTTTTCCAATTTTAACCATATATCAGAATAATATTTTCATTTTCATTTTTTTTGGGACGCCTTTTTTTGATAAATCATTTTCATTTTTTTATATGTCTTAATCTAAATAAATATTTAGGCTAAAAAAATCTAAACTAGTAAAGGAATATCTGTTGTGAGTGTTGGTAATGAATTATTCGATGTTATGTTGTATCATGAAGCTTATTAATTTAAATTTAACTTGAAATGTTTAGCTTTATTTTCAAGTTATATAGGAATATTATATTTATTTTTTTATATTTGTATTATTATATATATAATATTTTTTAATTTAATTATTATATTATTGCTTCAATTATGAATTCAATTGGTTGGAATATATGAGTTATGAACCACTAACATTTTTGGTTCAACATCCAATTCAATTACGAAAACATTGTGGATTATGCTAATTTATACTATTTATGGTTATGACGAGATCGGACAAAATCTGGGTCAATATTTGGGAAAAGATTCTATGCATCATCCCTTTTTGGCTTACCATTGTGAGATTAGATGTTCTCAAAATGCCAATAACAAAGCTGGAAGCCTTAGGACTAAAGACTTCCTTGGCAAAGAATATTTATGCTTGTTTAATTTGTTGCTCTATTTGAAAAACCAAATGCAAAACCTGTAAGTGATCAAAACAACTGGAGAGTCATCCAAACATACATACATACATACAAATGATATGAGTGAGACTATGGAGCCATTTGCTTGTTGGAAATAATAAGAATGAAATGAATCAAAGTAAAAATGATCTAAATTACCCCCTCTTGATAATAAATATGATAAAATTCAATATCACATAACACATATGTAAAAATTATCACACTTTTTATAAGCTTCATAAACCATTTCCTATCTCATGAATTAAACTACACTTTCCTCTCATGATTATGGGTAAAGTTAACCAATCTTCCCTCCACATTTTAATCACTTTAATTTTATATTTATATTTTTTAATTCAATTCATTACCAACTTTCATAGCAATCAAACAGGCCCTGTATATATTAATAGATTTGTTAGTCAAGAAGGTAAAGTTACTCATGGCAGGTTACGCGTGTGGGAGGTAGTAATAATTGGATCAAACACGTTTGTTGAACCTTCCACCATGCTAGTATGTTGGATACAAGGATGTAAACAAGTTAGAGAATCGATGTGTAAAAACCCTACTAAAAAACCTTGACTTAGATTAAGGACCATATATAATTGAGGAAACTATCCTTTAATTTCCATTCAAAATAACGGACCTTATGAGAAGAGATTAAACTGCTAAATACAATCATATCTTCATATAAATAAATTCCTGTTAAATACAATCATTTATCTTAGTGTTAAAATTTTTTAATATTTGTTAATATAATTTTTCCTTACATAAACTTGACATATACCCGCAATTTAAGAGATAAATGTTACAATGAAAGTTTACAAAAAAAAAAAATTAAAGTACACTAGATTTCAGAAATTTATCAAGTCGATATATACCTTGATTTAAAACGTATTTACCAAGTTATTAAAAATTTACTCACTAACAAACATCTCACATTTTAAACTCATGTTTTTGTGATATATACACCAACTTTTTACTAATGAGACAAATCTTTATTAACTATAAAGTATTTACACTAAGGGGATAACTCTGCATTTTGTGAGTTAAATGATATTTTGTATTTAGGAAGGAAAAAACTAAAACGAAATTCTTAGTTAAAAGAAAATTGTACGTGCATTTTTATCTTTTACAAGTGAATGTATGTATATATATATATTTTTTGGCCAAATGCATGTGTGTGTGTATAAATCTTAATAAATTATATTATTTATGATTAATTAACAGTGCGACTCATTAATTAGTGTGTGAACAATGCATGCGACACAAGGGTTTTAATAACTCAACCTATATAATTAAATTCAGGCCGTCCAAAATTAAATCTTCATATGCCTATAGCGAAGGCCAAATAGTGTCAATGTGCTACAAAATAAGTTCAATGGACATTTGGCTGTATTGATCACACGGTATGCCAGTATATTTGCACAGAGCTAAAAGGTTTCCTCCATTGTATTAGTTAGTGCATTCTAAGATCTTTTCATTGACGTTTAGCGCCATGCCAATGCTTGCTTCCCCATAGACTCGCTTTCCTGGCTCTGTTTTTCTGATCCTTGCTCTGCTAAAAACCATTTGAACAGACCCAAATTGCGAAGTTTCCTTCTTTTTTCACGTTGAATTCTGTATCACACCATAATAGCCGTAATGGAAAATGAGTCTCTGCTCGCGTATATCAGTCCCAGAAGGCGGCATCCACCTTCGCATCTCGCTCCACTGGCGGAGAACGACGAGGTGGTCCTGCCTCTGAACCCATCGGAGATTAAGGACCGACTTATCTTTGGCCCTTCGACTCCTAGAGATTCCGCTTCCTTAATTGAAGCGTTCACCCTCTCGCTTAATTCCCCGAGACAACATTCTTCTTCTGCACATGACCTTTTGGCTGGTTTAGTCGATTCGCAATTTCACCTGCCTCGACAATCATTGTCCAGACCTGCTTTTCATCGCTGTAAAACGGCACCGGCTATGGTTGTGGTCGGCGAATTCAACCACGATCCTACTGAACCTAAACCCCAATGCAGTTCGAATTCAATTGTTTCCCAAGCGGTTATTCTTCTTGTTATTTATTTATCGTTGGGGGTGCTTATTTATTCTCTCAATCATCATAATTTTACTGGAATTCAGACTAGTCCTGTGGTGGATGCATTGTATTATTGTGTAGTGACAATGTGCACAATAGGGTACGGTGATATTACTCCCACGAATACAGCGACGAAGGTTTTCTCTATCCTGTTTGTGTTGGTGGGTTTTGGGTTTATTGACATCTTGTTGAGTGCGATGGTGACTCATGTTCTTGATTTGCAAGAGAGTCACTTGCTGAGGACAATACTGAAGAGTAGGAGTGAGAATGACAGGAGATCATATATAATTGATGTCAAGAAAGGGAGAATGCGGATTAGGATGAAGGTGGGCTTGGCAATGTTGGTTGTTCTGCTTTGCATTGGAGTTGGTGTCTGTGTAATGCATTATGTGGAGATGCTTGGTTGGATGGATTCTTTCTATCTTTCTGTGATGTCAGTTACAACGGTAGGCTATGGTGACAAGGCATTCCAGTCTCTTTCTGGTCGTTTCTTCGCTGCAATTTGGTTGCTTGTATCGACTCTTGCAGTTGCTCGGGCTTTTCTTTATTTAGCTGAGGCAAGAGTGGACAAGAGGAATAGAAGAATGGCAAAGTGGATTCTTGGTCAGGATTTGACTGTTTCTGAGTTTCTTGCTGCAGACTTAGACCATAATGGCTCTGTGAGGTAGGCACTCTGCATATTCATCTCCTAAATATTGAATCATTGTTAGTATCAGTATGCTTTTCATATGACAATTTTTATCTTTTATGAGTGAGATGTCACTTGTTAAATGTGAAGAATCTATTGTCAAAATATTTGAGTTATAATAACTTTGAAGCATGGGAACAGATATGCTGCATGGACTCCAGAAGGTCTTTAGACTGAGAAGGATTTCATCAAATATCGGTAACTAGTGTCTAACGATTTTGCGGAGGCAGTTAATATGATCAATAGAAACAATGCGATTGATCATGTAATGCTTAACGTTATCAACGATATTATATGTTTACTTGTTAGGGATTTGAATATTATTTTTGACCATATGTTCAAGGAAGCTAATGAATACGCTAATTGACTTGTCAGTTCTACTTATGATCTTAATGTGTGTCTGTGTTCTTTTTCAATTGACACCCCTTAGATTGTAGGAGGTTAGTTGATTTGGATATACAAAGATTATGGACTTTCTGTTTTTTTCTCTTCGGTATGATTTTTTTACAGACTACTATCCCAAAGAAAAAAATTTTAACGGAAAAAGAACATCTGCATACTAAAAAACACAGAAGTTTCTGCTTTTATGCATTTTCCTTTACTCATTTTTTTTGGGCTCTGTTCTTGTATATTTGGTACACCTGCTAAAAATATTGTCTTGCGTATATATGTTGCCATATTCGTGATTTTAATTATGCTTACTTGATACAATCTCGTCTATTATTATGCTTTCTATAGTTAACAGCGTAGGAAAAATTATACTAAGCATTTCATATAAATGGATGCAAAAATGGACATAGTAGAATTTCTATTCCTCATATCATAATGAAATGGATTGATTTAAGTGATAATGGATTGATTTAAGCGAACTTTATATGCACTGCCTCTTGAGATCAATGCTTTACAGTCACACTGCATCTCTCTTGGACAGAGTATCCCATTATATTGCTTTATTTCTGATCATGCTTTTGAGGAATTCGGTTTTTAAACCTTTCAAGAAAAAAAAAGGGACAAAATGGCTTTTGATTCGCGGTTGAGAGAAGAATTAAGAGACTAGAGAGTAGTGAGATTGAAATTTTTGACAGGAAAATGCAGGGTGAATTTCTTCATGCTCTGTTTTCTTTTGTTACCAGAGTTTGTGCTTGGAGATTCTCATTCTATCATCATATATCATTTACACACCTAATAACCAATGTTCACAACGGGTTTCTATATTAAAAAAGCAGATGTGAACTAATTTACATTACGTGTAAACCTTGGTTTACTTTAGTTGGCTCTAGCTTTGTGCTCAATCATTAAGAAAATTTACATCTTAAAGCACAAAAGTATGAAAGGGATGCACCTTTTTCATTTCTGATTGTATGGAACATTCACAAAGAGCTTCACACCATCATTGGCTTTTTACAATCGAAAAGCTGATCAACTTTATTTGAATTTCTTGTCTAGCAGCTTTATTTGATCATTAAGGTCACCTATCCTTGAACAGAAATCCTAAAAGCTTGCATCTTTTTCATTCATTAGCATATAAACAAGTAATCAACGTTGGTTTAATCTTATTATTACTCAACATTCTTGTGCTTAATCCGTTTTTGTTGTTTATTATGAAATCACATCGTGGTATACATGCAACTCATTCACAAAAAGGCAAGTTTGTTAACTAGATTGTCTAGCGTTTACAGATTCTTTCCTTTGTCATAAATATTTGGAATCACATATTCAATATTTCCAGATACATTTTGTGTATCTTTCCTTGAATCTTATATCTGTAAGTATCACACCATTGGACATATTCAGTGGTTCAAGCTTTGAACTTTGCTTGTTTGTTTTGATTCAATGTCATGACTCACATCCTCTGATTTTTCTTATTATCATGATTTTGGACCTGCAGTAAATCAGAATTTGTTGTATACAAGCTCAAGGAGATGGAAAAAGTATCAGAGAAAGACATCATGCTGATCAGCGATCAGTTTGACCGGCTAGATTTCAGGAAATTAGGGAAAATAACTCTTACTGATCTCATAGGGAATCATCATTGACAATATAAGAATCTGAGTATGGTTATCTATAGTGCCAGAAATTTCTGTCTTTTACCAGCATGGATCAATTGAAGAGGAGGAGCATCAGGTAGTCTAGTTTCATGCTGTTGTTTATTCCCTAACGCTTGATCATGATCATTGAGACAAGGCACATATGTTGAAGGTGAATAATGCTGCAAAAGAAACCATATTTATGACATGTTTTGTTGCCTGTTTTTTGATTTGGCAACATTTGTTTAGAGCAGGATATAGTACTGATCTTACTGGAGTTCAGAGTGGAAAATAAAAACATGACAAGAGTATGATTCTTACATTTCATCAGTGTCGTACAATAATTAGATGATTTTTTAAAAAAGAAATAAAAATTTTGTGCTCACAAAGTTCATTGGAGAATAAATTAATAGAAAAAACATGGAGAAGAGACAAGATTTTATATTTGCATCCTTTCCATGCTGTCACTCAATAAATCTTTTCATGTCCAACCACATCGATCTATTTAATTATTTATTTGGTTTAATGGTGTAAGATTATTAATTATCATATTAAAATAAATATATTATTCATATTCATTATTATCACTTAAATATTTTTGAAAATAAGATCATAATTCTTCTTTAAGGTGGTCATTTAAATTAATAATATGACATTGTTAAACCAAATGAATAATTAAATGGACAGATAAGATTCAATATGGAAGGGGGTATTAATGGAAGATATGGAGAAAGTCCAAATTGGATGAAGACATCATTCCTCTAAATTGTGTTTGGTTCTACGGTGATGGGCTTCTTTTCTTGGCTAAAATAGCACAATTAAACATCACAAGATTTGCGATGGGCTTGGATTAATTCTTCGGAACATCAATCCCATATAAGCCTAAATAATGTGTATGAAATATTTTAAGATAAAGATCTATGGCTTTCTTGAAACTCTTTTTATTCATACAAAAAACATGCCCTTAAATTTTACTGATAACATTTTCTGGGCAAGTGATGGTTTAATTATGCAAATCTTAGTAACAAATTATAATTGCCGTTGAAAGGGTTTTACACCCATATAGTATGACCCAACTCGATAATGAGTCAGAACCCAATATGACTTTCAGAACCTGTTGGTATATATTACTAAAAAAAAAAATTACAATTACAATAATAATGAAGTTTATTATTTATTGAAGCTTTGGCCACCCGATCAGTAACTAGATTCGCTTCTCTCCGGGAACCCAAAAGAATATGTAAAGCCCTTAATTAATTATACAGGTAACCTAACTGGGTGTAAATGCACATATATGAATAGAGACAATAATAGTGGGCTATTGAGTGATTGGTAAAAGTGGAGAGCTTGACAAGTTTGACAAATTTTGTGGTCCTGTGACTTTCTTAAACCTGACTGATCAACGTAACTTTTGAACCTTTTGACTTTATCTAATTCTTCTCATCATCTACCTCTCAACTAGAGCAACATTACATTGTTTCAACTTCTGAAAGCTTTTTGAATCTTAGATAAGCAAGCCACCAGCAAACAAAAAGCCATGTGATCCAGAAAATTCAGATGGCGACGACTGATTCTTCTGGGGAACTTTTAGTGGCTTTTGGTTTTCCACCTCGGATGATAAATCATCGTTTACTGACAAGATTGGATCTAGACAAATGACATTACTTTTTGGTGATTAATGTTAATGTTAAATAAAAAGATAAATATGGTACTAGTTAATCAAGGTAAACATACAATGGGGGAGCATTTTTAAACGAGACAAGATTTGATGAACAAATCGAAGCCTCCATTAAGAAATGTATTATATTATGACGAACTTTTAATAGATTAGGATTAGGATAGGTGCAGCATTTTGAATAAGACCGATTCTCCATGTAACTTGTTCGGTAGAGTTTCACTTTGGCATAGACTTGAAACTTTGGAAAAGTTCAAGATGAAAAGCATGAACAGCATTTTTTATTTACTGTGACAAAACATGGTCATTTTTTTAATTAAAAAACAAAAAGACTATGGCACAACAGTGCAACAAACAACTTACAGCATAATCTTCTGTTCCAAATTATAGGACACTTTTAAAAGAGTTTTTTAGTCTCAAAATATAAGACACTTTAGATATATTAAGGTTTTATTAAATACACAAATTTTAAATTTACCCATTCTCTCTCTATAATTAATTTATATCCCTTCTCTTTTCAATATATGAAATGATGAGCATTTTTAAAAGTTTATATTTTTATTTTAAAAAGATAAGATTATTAAGTGTATTTAATGAGGTTTATTGGTATGTGAACTTTTGTCTGAAAGTATTTTATAATTTAAGACGGAAGGAGTATTATAAATCATAAGATTCCTGTGCCAGTTGGGAGTCATGGTGTCCATACTAAGTTGAGATTCATTTGATAGGCAAGTCAGTCCGCATACGGCACATTGATTTTCTTATTTGAAAACATGGTTCAAAGTGGTGGCTCAATTTGAGATCCCTAGTCTTCTTGATGATATTGGTGAGAGGGTGATCATGAGAATGTTCTTTAAGTATAAGATTGATAGCTTCAAAGGAATCACAGAAAACGTTAACTTGGAGGTAATTCTCATTCCGACAAAAATTAAAGCCTTCAAGAATGCTCAATTGTTTCGCTGCAATGCTCTATTGGAAGCCAAAACCACCCTTTCTTCATAGTTCATATCCCTTGCGCATCTTGAATGAGTCCTTCATAGTTAAAAAGTATTAAAAGTATGTTATTATTTTAATTAAAAATTTTAAATTATATATTGGACTCATCAATTAAAACTTTTTATTTGTTTTTTTAAATTGACACATCCTTTTTTGGTGTTACTAATTACACTTATCCTTTGGGTTTTCAAAAAAGATGTTTTCATCAAACACATGGTAATGGTGACTAATGATGATGTCAATACAATCTTTTCTGAAGTCTAGGAAGCAAAAATTCAACAAATATTGTTGATGACTGAAAAGTTCTCTCTATGATTGTGTTCATTGTCTATCTGTCTGTGTGACTTGGTAAAAGCTTATATTTTCCAAAGCTTATATGAAAGCGATCTTAGTCATCCCTTCATGTCATATTATTTCTTGCTTTTTGACGTAGTCTTTACTCTCCGGCCAAAAGTTTACCACGTAATCTACAAGTTTTAGAATTCAAGCTTCTTTCACTAATTAATATAAAAGCAATTAATATTTAATATTATTCACCATATAAAATCCATTAATACTGACCATATAATAGATAATATCATCGGACTTGTTTTCAGTACGTAGAACTCGATCAGTCCGTGAATATTGTTCAGCAGTCCAATGAGAAAGATCATCGTCATTTGTTTTAATTTCATCTCCCATTTTCTATACCACATCATCTTCCATTTTCGTATCTATGAATGTATGTATGTATGTATGTGCATGCATGCATGATTTGATTTAAAAATCCTAATTACTAGAGTCAGAGAACAGTATAGTTTTCGTGGGTAGGAATCCATCAACTTCTGTAGTTTTCATCACACTAAAAGAGAATAAAAAGATGAGAAAAAATATTGGGATTGCTTTAGTCTACGTTCAGTGTATCAGATCCATACTTATATGATCCTTTGAACCCTAGAAACTTGACAGTCTTCTACAAACATGACAACCTGAAAGGGAAACAAACTATGACTACATATATACACATTTGTTTCAGTGGGTCAAGCCAATCCATGCTCTATGCATATGATAGAATATCTGAGTTGTATGCAAATTATGGTTAAATAATATAGATTTTTGTAATTTTATATTCTAATTTTTTCATTGGATCAAATTTGAATGGTATATATATATATATATATTGACACCTTCAACATTTCCCAAAAATAATATAAATATATATATATATATAATAGAATTAAAATCCAAATCAACCTGACTGGTTGAACTAACATCTTGATTAATTTAATAAATAATGCTTTATTCATGGCCAATATAATCGATTATAATTTTGATTGTAAACCTCCGAACCAGTATTTAAACGGTTTAATGACTGGTCAGTACCTTAAATATCTAATATAAGGGATCCAAAAGTTTAAGTATGCGTGTGATTATATAGTTATATGTATATGGCGCAAATGCAGGGAGTTGAATGATTGTATAGGATAGAATCATATCATTCATTCTCAAAAATGTTAAAAAACATGAAAAAGTAAAAACGAATGAAAGGTTTTATTAAACTATTACATGCTTTATATATATTTACCTGGCAAACCATACATTTGACATTTTTTTTAAAACTATATAGGTACCCTATATACCTTTTAAAAAATGCTCTTAATCATAATTATTCAAAAAGAAGATGGATATGAAAATAACGAAGCGTGACTAAGTAAAATTACCCTTATGTAATTTAATTGGGATAATTAAGACTCTATTAAATAACTAATTACTATCAATAGAGTTGGGTTTAATAGAAAGGGTTAGTCTCTAACAATGTGGCAAATTAAGGTTTGAGTCCTCGTTGGAAGAAGTGTCTGTTGCATTGAGTACCCAATTGTATGCTTGAATATAATTAATTGCCCTCTATTAGGAGGATGCCTACGAGCAATAAAAAAACTAATTACTAAAATATTAATCCGGTGAAAAACGCTGTTTCTTTGTCTGTCTTCTTGTTTTACTTGCAAGGGATCGAATTATATATATATTGGTGGGCCAAATAAAGATTAAACCACTTTCTTAAAGTAATTATATATTGCCGTAAGTGTCAGTAGTTAGACTTGGAATCAGTCAAAATGAACGAATGGAAGACTAGAAATTCAAACCATATGAAAGAACGTTTCACATTCAAAGCCTAGCGGAAACAGAATCAGGGTTCCTGTGCTTTCATTAATAATGAAAGTTAATTAACTAAACTCATACATATAATGGATGAGAGAAACAATTAAAAATTGAATAACGTCAAACTTTCCAATTAGTGGAGTGAATGGCATGACTAAGGAATGTAAATGTTGACTTCCATCAGTTCAAGAGGCTAATTTTATATGAAGGAAAAACTATTTGGGTGATGCATGTGGAATGGATTGATATATACTAGCTTCAATTAAAATTATGCTACAAGATAAGGCAATCTCGTGAGTTTTTTTCCCCCTTCATTTTTGAATTATCCGATATATATATATATATATATATGTTATTAACTAGTTCAAATTTAAATCTAAATACACCGAAAATTATGCTCTTGGAACATGATATGGTTTTTTTCATTCTTAGTGCCTAAATCCAAAACTTTGCTTAAAAAAGTGATTCATTTTCATTTAACTCAACATCAGC